CCAAACATGTTGACTATAATAGTGCTGTGGTACTGCTGTGACTAGCCTACTTGTCTGCCAGCCAAGTAATCATGCTTCCATATGAAGCAGGGATTTATGTCATAGTTCTGGTTTCCCATGTCGATCCAGCCTAAAATGGGTACCAGGAAATATCCTGAGGGAGTTGTTGTTATTCTTGTTCGTCCATCACAAGTGATGAGGACCACTTTTTCTTTCATGCATATTGGAACTATAGCTGACTGACTGTGAGTCTAGAGGTGACTGATTAGCAGGTCACTGCGCCTCTCCGGATAGACATTCACCATGTATTCCGGTCTTGTGCCGCATCCTCCCAAGGGTCAGGTTTTATATTAAAGGCTTTAAGTGATACTTTCAGCGCATCCTTTAAGCATTTTTTTTTCTGGCCATCATGTCATCGTTTACCTTATTGGATCTCACCATGGCAGTAAATGCAGCTGATACGGGCCACTGAGTGCGAAATGGTCTAAGAAAATGAGACTTGCACCACATATCAGAAAGAAATTCTATAATCATGTCCTGAAGGGAAAGATAATGGAACTTACTGCATCTACTGGATAAAGTAATGAGAAAAGAACAGGGCAGAATGACAGAGACAATGTAGAAGACATAAAGTATGGCTACATAGATAAATGCAATACAGGAACAGAGAAACAAATTTCACATTCATCAATTTAAAAAAAACACACACACACACACAAATAAACATGAACATATGCACACAGTGGAAACTTGTTTCTCAAACAAAATTTGGGCAGCAGCACAACTGATGCTCTACCTTCTATACATCTCATTCGTCTTGGAGGAGGGCTTGCCACAGGGCTCATCATTGAGCTCTAATCTTTATCAATGACCTGCCAGAACAAATCAAGGCCGAAAAAGCCTTGTACGCTGATGATCTAGCAAATGGCAGAGTGATGAAAATGTAGAAAGTGGAGCCCAAAGACTAACTGGAGACCTTAGAAGACTGCATGAGTTCTGCCAAAGATGGAAACTCAAAGTTAACTGTGCAAAGACGGTCTACACAGTCTTTACCAAAAGCCATCAAGTAGCAAGGAAGAATATTAACCTGAGGTTAGACGAACACCAAGTGATGAAAGAAGAGCATCCTACATACCTTGGAGTCACACTTGACCGGCAGCTCAGCCTCAAGAATCATATTGAAAACGTAAGGAATAAGGCATTGAGGCGGTTACAGTTATTAAAGAGACTTGCAGGTACATCATGGGGATCAGACAAGGAAACTCTGAGGGGCTTATATCTAGGATATGTTCGCTCTGTGATAGAGTACAACTCACTAGAGTACAACTCACTGCTTACAACCTGCTCCAAAACTAACCTAGAGACTCTTGACAGAGTACAAAAAAATGCCCTCCGATTAATCTGCTGAGCTATGCAGTCTATACCAACTGCTGCATGTGAAATCCACACAAATGTGGAACCCTCGGGTTGCGGAGAGAAAAAGCCACTTTAGAAATTTATGAAAGATGTGTTAGAAAGAATTGTAACCATCCTAATAGACATCTTGTAGAAAACTGGGAATCAAACAAAGAATAAAGCACAAATCTGTTTTACACTGTGTTAATGAAATTCAGGACAAATACCACCTCCCAGAAAGATGTCAAGGCATTCAGAATGTTGCAAGAAACCTACCACCACATGCTCGCTTTAAAGCTCCAGACGTCCGAATTAAATTGGTAGGCGAGGAAACCAAACAGTCTGACCCAATCGCTTTTATGAACTCATCACTAAAGACCGTTGATTCTTACCCCCAAGAATGGATACATGTTTATACTGATTGATCTGCATTTAAAGCTACCATTAAAGCAGGTTACGGAATCTACATAGGTTATCCCGATGAATCTGTTGAAGAGATTTTTGATGCGTGCGGGGAATTCTGTTCAAATTATGAAGCCGAAATAATTGCACTGGAAACAGCAGTATACCACCTAAAGACTGTAATGGATGTTTACCCTTCAAAGGCCCAAAATACTGTCATCTTCACAGATTCAATGTCTGCCCTTCAAGCTCTGGAGGGCTGTGAACGCTGCAGAACTGACATAGCCAAGATAATCCTGGATGCTGATCAGCTTACCTCATACAACATCAAAATAGTGATGCAGTGGATTCCAGGCCACTCCGGCACACCAGGTAATGACAGAGCTGACAGATTGGCAAAGAAAGGAGCAACACAAGAACAACCACCTACAGCAACACCTTACAGACAGCAAAAACACTTATAAGAGCTATAAACAAAGAGACTTGGTTGAACAGATGGGCCATGGAAGACACTGGAAGAGAGGTTTATAGACAGATGGCTGGCCCTGATCCTAATGACAGCATTAATCGTCTAACAAGAAGGGACCAGGCCACCATCTTCAGACTTAGAACGCAACATACTCCACTCAATGAACATCTGAACAGAATACAGCCACAACTCTCCCCAGAGTGCCAGCTATGTAACTACCCCTACGAAACTGTTGAACACCATCTCTTTGAGTGACCAAAACTCAGCGAGACTAGAAGAATGCTACTCCCTCCGAGAACAGACAAGTGGAACACCTTGTACGGAGGAAAAGAACAGCTTGTGAAAACATGCAAATTCCACTACATGGCATTGGGCCAAAGGGCGAAAGCTCATGCGCCGCTGGATCGATAACAACAACAACAATACATCTCATTCCATGTGGTTTCCAGTTTTCATGTTTGGAAACTAAAATTGAAATGAGGAAACTGACATGTTTTTGTTTGTTCATTTGAAAAATATGTTCAATAATAGATGTGTCAGAATTGTGAATTGCTGGGTAAATGAGGTTCTAATGTGTGTATACACATGCATGCCAGTATGTATTTATCCACACACTGATGAGGTAATCCAGGCATCCTATTTATGGTCACCTTCTTGTTTGTATTTGTGTGTAAGACAGACAAATAAGCAGACTGTGATAGAGACAAGAAAGAGTGGGGGAGAGGGAGACGAAGGACACAGACTGGAGTCAGTGTCCATTATGCAGGCAGCCTGAAACCAACCAACCATAGTTCACATCACATTTACCAGTATCAATTTCCACTAAACTGTCAATGTTCTCAGATGTCACTTCTGTGTTCAGAGATTTCAGCAGAAATTCCGTTACCACTCTCCATTCCTTTTTTGCCTGTTAAAAAAAAAAAATTCTAAATAAATAAAGCACAGGAATAAAAAAAATTAATAAGTCCAGATTGTTGCAAGTGATATTGTTAAAAAACAAAAAAAACATTTTCAGTACTGTAGGTTTAGCATAGTAGGGGCACATGGCTGGTCTAGTCAGTTCTGGTTGTGACATTACCGCAAATGCAGATATACTGGCCTGTCTGCAGTGACCTGTTCTCGAAACACATTGAAAACCTTTGGTTCTGTGTGCATGTGCAGTGTTTTATACGCCAAGATAAAATGTAGTAACTAAAAACAATATTTAGGCGGGTTCCCTTATAACCCCATTGTTTTTTTAAAAAGTCAAGTTGTCAAATTTTTAGGTAAGCTTCTGTTATAGAGGTGATAGGGGTCAGAGCATTAGTCACCGGACATATATTGTGTTTTAGGTTCTAGGAATGTATTCCATTTAATGCTTAACTCTGTTCATTTTTACTGATTACTTCTTTCAAATATTTTTATACATTTCAGGAAAAATAGAAATTTTTAAAAATTGTATTAGTGACCTGTGTAAAATATTTTTTTAAATGATTTTTTTCTCAGAGAATTCCTATAATTTTAGCAATTGCAGGCTGAAAGGGTTAAGTCAGATGTATTCAAGCAAACAATGTACTGTGACAGATGCTCATGGAAATGATGCAGTGAAAATCGTACCATTAGGCCTAACGACGCTAAAAGAAGACATTTAACAATGCTGCTCTAAAAAGTAGCAAAAACACTTCATATCTGATCCAATTCAATGCATATTTAACTTTTTTAATCATAAGTTTATATATGGATAATTTTCTTCTTAAATTTTAAAAAAAAAAATTGCACTAGATGTAATATTCTTTTTCGCCAGGTCATTAAATATATTTATGACCCTGTCTACTATTGTTATGTTTTTGCTACCCGTTGTTACATCTCCCAGATTAAACAGACTTAGTCCTTTTCTAACTGTTGGTTTTGATATTGTTAGTCTCTCTAACTACGGTTTTAGTTTTTCAAATTTTCATTTCATAAGGTTCAGTAATATATGCTCATTCCATGCTTTAAACAATGTTATCACACTGTTTCACTCTAAGTTTTTATTATTCCTTAATGTTTAATTCAGACATTTTTGCAATATGAGTACAAGAAGAATTGTTATAATGTGAAAAGATATGATGACAACAAAGATCCCTGCCACACTTCTCATTGTTAAATCTGTGTCCAGAGTCTAGTATATCATGTACTGCCAGAACTGTGGTACACAGCGCAGATGAAAGCCACCTTATTATTATTATTAGTATTATTATTATTGTGCGTGTGTGTGTGTGTGCGTGCGCACACTATATGAAAACAGGTGTACAGATCTTTATTTTGTATTACAAGGAATTGCAACAATTCTCCATTCAGCTCAGATGATATTCTACACAGGTATTGCAAGACCATAGGTTATCTCTCAGCTTACAATTAATCTGACACACAGAAATACAATGACAGCTGCCGCGGTGTAGCGGCTAGATGCTCGCTGTTGATTTGAAGGTCGTAGGTTAAGGTCCTGATAGAGCCAGACTTTTTTCTTTTCTACAAAAATGACCTTCGCTTCCAGCCAGGTCGACCTAGCCTTAAATGGATACTAGGAAAGTCATGGGAAGTAAAGGTGGCTGGCAGGATGCTGACCATATCACCCACCAAGTGCCAACTGGTCTATAAATTACAGGTCTAGCCTTATACGCCCAATATGCTTGAAGGTGCGAAAAATAGTCCTGTACTTTACAGACATACAATCTCACAAAAACAGAATTATAGCAAATATAATTTTACTCACATGCGAGTCTTTGAAGAAATTGTATATAAGAACATCATCAAACTCCAAACCCTTTGATTCAAAAATAGTCAACACAATTCCACTTCCTAATTCTTCTGGGAGTTGAGCTTTAGCTCCTTCACTGACAACCAGGATAGCTTGATGAGCTCCAAATTCTATGTGAGAGGTCTTCCTTCTGCTTCCAGTCAAAAGCAGAGCAAGATCTCCTTTTTAAAAGAAAAAGAAAAGATACATAAATCAAGAGAGAAAAAAAGCACTACATCAGTTTAGGAAAAAAAAGGTGGACAGCAAGTGTATGTGTGTGTGCTTTAATTTCATCATCAAGACAAGCGGTCCGCCCTTAGAGGCTCCATGTGCACTTCCTGGGCTCTATGACTGCCTCCAGAAAAATAAACACACAAAAAACTGAATTAAATTAACAATTAAGAAACAAAATGTAGAATAAAATAACATAAAAATAAAAAACACATATAAAACCAGATTTTACATTCTGTATGAAAATTTGCCAAATTTAATTCCCCTTGTCTGAGATCCTGTCTGAGAAAGCAAAACTAGTACTAGCTTTCTTTCTCAGTATATAACACACAGAAATTTGTCTAAGGTTAGCCTCAAATGAACCTGAAATAAGAAAACTGTAAAAAATCAATACGTGTGTCTTATTAAACGTGCACAGGTTAGCTTAGAAATATTATTGTTGCTGTCACCGACAATGTAAAATCTTAGTCAACACAACTGTTTTTTTTTTTAAAAATAATTTTGGAAGAACTTGTATTTATGGACAGCTCTGACAATTTCATGTACACTGGTGGTAGGTGAGAATAAAAGACTCTTATGATAAATTTCAGTTTATAATTGTTTCATATGTGAAAATTGCTTCTAGACACCATTAGCATGAGAGACCTAGGGTATGGTAAGCCAAAGGCACTCCTTCATAGAAATGGATTCTGAAAAGTACTCCCCTACTTTAAAATATTGGGAACCACTGATCTAGACAGACAATTGACCTTGAACAACCACCTGTTAAGTCAGGGTGATATCATCAAACATAAATATTTGTAGATGTTAATAATTTATCAAATAATTCCTTATAACCATGTGTTGCTAATAATTTCACAGTAATGGTGTTTCTAAACAAATGAAAGGTCAACTCATGTACTCAGTAACAATAACACACAAGGCTGTTCATAAAGGACAGGAGAAAGTAAATGTCTATTTCAATGCACACTCTTTTCCTCTTCAGCATTCTGAACCCTTGAGTTTACAGTTGCAGGCATAATGCATTTGAGTGACTGGCTTTTTCTTTACAGTTGGTGACTCTTCAGTGTTTGTAGGTCTGCCTCTATATTATCTCTCCACCATCTTCTTGGTCTGCCTCATGGTGTACTTCCTTTCAACTCTTTTGTCTACAATTTGTGTATCCATGCCATCGGTCACTTTTCCTGTATGCCCCAACCACTGGAGTCTATTAGCCCTCATGATGCCAGTAATTAGTGATGATTTGAATAAATGATGAATTTCATTGCTGCTTTTCACTCTCCACTCTCTGCTGTTTTCATTATTTTGGGTCCAAAGTTTTGTCATGAGACTGTTCTTAAAGTTTGTAATAAGGTTTTGTCTCTTCTAGTTGTACTCCACGCTTCAGAGTCATACAGGACAGCTTGTGTTATCAGTGTATTATATATTGTAATCTCAGTGTTATAAGCATTTGACTTTAGCAGATGTTGTAGGGAATAGTAGTACATCTTGTTTCCAGATTGTATTCTAGACTGTATACACTCTTTTAGTATGATGAAACAGTTGAAGTTTGTAACCAAGTAGCTGATATACTTTTCATTCGGTTTTATATATATCCTTGATATTCTGCATCTTAAAACTTTCACTGACAGTTTACTAATGTTATACACCAAGGGAATTCATAAACATTACCACAGCAATAATAAAAGGGCTCAGAGATGCAGGTGCACAGACAATTAAGTGACTGAACTGCAGATGAAACTGGAGTGAAACAAGGTTGCATTTTTGTCCCCAGTTATTTGACATAACTTCAAAAAACACTTTCACTAACTGTGTGCAGAACACAGATTTTGAGGATCTCAATTTGCAGATTTATACTGCTCTGCTAAGTTTAAAAATAATATTTTTTTTTTTTTTTTAAATAATGGCATGCAAAGAAGAAAAGACTAGTAAATATAGTTTAACAAATGCACTACAAATCAGTCATGAAAGACTGATATATTGAAAACTTAACAGATCAAGCAGATTTTATGCTGGAGGCAACAAACCTGAAAACAACAGATCAAATTGTCTATTTAAGTATTTCTTTAGAGGGCCAAGCAAATTAAAAGAAAGAAATTATGACATGTAGTGTCCTTATAAATAGTTCCCCTATAATTAGTTCACACTTCTGATGTCTATAATGCATTCAGAATGAAACAAAAAGTCCATACAATTTTAGAGATGATTTACTTGCCTGGACTACTGGATTCTATAATGATTGGCTTGGGACCTGCAAACATGCCCTGATCTTTCTCAAGAGGATCAAACGAATCTGGGAACAGTTCTAAAAGAATATCCAGAACTGCTGATGCCAAAGACAGAATCCCTGTATGTGAGCGGTAATTATGAGTGAGCTGGTGAACCTTCTCTGGAACCTGTAGGAAGCCACACACACAGCAAATAAATATATTGATTAAAAAATACATGCACATATGCATGCACACACACACACACACACTTAAAAATTTGACAAGTTAATTTGGTTAAATCTACTGCTACAAGGTGACTATAAATGTGGTGATTGTGGTGGAGGAGGTGGGTTAATATGCTGTCATCAACACCAAGTGCCCCCCGTGTGGGTTCCGGGGCCCCATTGTGGGGAAAACAAGAATAGACCCACTGCCTCCTCAAAAGCATGTCGTAAGAGTCGACTAATTAGGGAGCTTCCTTTGAAGTCGGAGTGCATCTGCCGGAGAGGCAAGGAACCAGCAGTCTGTATTCAAGAGAATGAGATCTGTAAAACTGATGCACACGCAACACTCAGGTTCTGGAGCAGGACTGTAGTTCAGTAGTGGACGAGCAACCAGAACCTCCGCCAGAGTTTACAGCTGGTGAACGCAAAGAAGAAGAAGAACACCAAGTGCCATCTTTGATTTCGGTCAACTATATTGAGTTACCACTCCAACAGACTCTGTACTATGGCTTCATGATGCACTCAGACAGTCCCTAGTTGATGTCTACTGGATGTAACACTGACTGTTCAAACCAAGGTGACGTAAACAATGTGGATTATTTTTTGTGGGCACTTGACATTTGGACAGGACTGTATTTTCACACACAAACTCAGTGGGGAATCATGGAGCTAAAATAGTTAAATTTCTGTAAAATGGTCCATGGATGATCCCTTGCTTTAAAGATTACTGAAGGTCAACTAATGCTGCGATTTATTTATGGGCAGATCATTTCCTGGTACCCATTTTAGGCTAAATCGACCTGAGAGCCAATCTTAGTTATTCCTCAATGTCAATTCAAACTCAAATCTTCGGATCAGCGGGCAAGTGTCAGGCACTGTGCTACTATGTTTATCAATTACTTTCGACTAAAACCCTATTTATTTCTTTATATTTTGCAATTACTTTGGATCATTATTAACAGCAGTGCTTCATGCCTGAATCAATGTTTTGCTCGTTAAAAAATAACAGGGACAGAGTTCATTTAACCCGCCATGATGCAATAATTATTTTTGTGTATCTTCCCAGTGCTGATTTCTCTTCCCAGTGCTGATTTCTCTTCCCAGTGCTGATTTCTCTTCCCAGTGCTGATTTCTATCTTTATCTGATATACTGACCTACAAACTGCTTCAATTAAGTACACATGAATACAATGACTAGCATGAAGAATATGAGGCACCCAGTTAATATATGCATGTTTAGAAACTGGACAATACACCTTATGTGTGGTCACCTAGAATGTCTAGGAAGATCTAACACTTTACATCCCAGCAACAATATCTACTTTAGGACTTTCTTATACATTTTATTTCCATTATATATATGCAGACAGGTAGCAGAGATGTAATGTTACGTTGGAGAAAGCAGTTGTAATGTTACCTTTAAGGATGATAAATGCCTCTCCTTTTTGTCAGCTGAATTCTTGGTGTGGTAAAACATAGATCTCAGATCATGAAACCTAAATGATATCCCTCTCATTATGCTCTGAGCTGTGTCCCCTGTGAGAAACATCTTGTTTGGTTCTGAACACAGTGAGACCAATAGAGCCAATTCTGCCTGTGTGAAATCTTGGGTTTCATCCACATAGATTTCATGTATAATCCAAGGCTGAAATGTCATCTGAAATTGGTAACAAAAAATGTTTGTCAAATCTAAAACATAAATTAATGTATATATAAGTCATCTGGGTGCTGCAAAATTAATCAAGCAAACCTAACAAGGACAAGTGGTAAAGTAATGAAGCACAAAGTTCTATAAAGCTTGAAAATAATACAAAAGTGACTGCAGTGCAGATTTCAATACAAGAATATATAATGCAGTAGCTGTTAACAAATGAGAGAGAGAGAGAGAGAGAGAGAGAGAGAGAGAGAGAGAGAGAGAGAGAGAGAGAGAGAGAGAGAGAGAGAGAGAGAGAGAGAGAGAGAGAGAGGAGAGATAGAGAGGAGAGAGGAGAGAGAGAGAGAGAGAGAGTGAGAGAGAGAAAGAAAGAGAGAGAGAGAGAGAGAGAGAAAGGGAGAGAAAGAGAGAGAGTGAGAGAGAGAGAGAAGGAAAGAAAGAAAGAAAGAAAGAGAGAGAGAGAGAGAGAGAGAGAGAGAGAGAGAGAGAGAGAGAGAGAGAGAGAGAGAGAGAGAGAGAGAGAGAGAGAGAGAGAGAGAGAGAGAGAGAGAGGTAGTTATCAAATGGTGCCTTTTTATTAGTTGATGGGAAAGCCTCTACATCTGAAAACTTGCAACGACCCAGATGCAAAAGAACTGTCAACTGATTAATTAAACCCTGAGATATTTTTATGTGCAATTAAGAATCAACATCACAGCACTCGTGACACTCCCTCATCTTCAACAGCAAATGAAGAGTTCCAAATCTAATGGTTCAGTAACTGTCTGATTGTGTATCCATGACCAACTGTAGAAAGGCCTCGAATCAAATTTGGTAATATCACTTCCTTAGGCAGACGCAAAATGGCTGTCACATGTGTTTCCTGTGTGTCAGGTTTTATTTTTGTTGTAATAAAGTAACATTATTAGGTGGTTTCACATTCACTTTTGATTCACTTATAAGTGGTGTTTTCAACAAGTTGATTTAATAAGTTCTATGTGTGAATTCTCTCTGGATTTATCTTCAGTGTGTTGAATTTAATAAGTTCTTTGTGTGAATAACTTTGGATTTATCTTCAGTGTGTTGTGTTTAATCAGTTCTTAGTGTGATTCGCTTTAGATTTATTTTCAATGTATTGTGTTTGTCCTCTGAAAGTACTGGAGAGTTTTGGGAAATGTGATTCTGGTCTCAAGACTCAGTGAAGGGAAAACCCCAATTGCACCTCCACGCGGCAGAGGACGGTAAACACACTGCGGTGTGGCCAACGCAGCTATGGTGACCGAGTATCCGCCGGGATAAGTGGACACCTCTGGGGTGCCCTCTGCTGTCAGCAGGAGCATCACAGAGCAGGGCACTCACTTGCCCTAGCAATCGAAAAGGCTGCTGAAAGCTGAGGACATGGTCTAAAGCCATGTGGATGTGGAAAGCAACGGGAAAATACCACATTACTATCTCAAGAAACTCATCATGGAAGCCAAAAACGAAACTCAAAGATCTGACGGTGAGGCCCCCAGGCCAGGCATATCACAAACGCGAACTGTGGAAGAGAACGATGGCAGAGCAAGTAAGGGTAGTTGTGATGTTTTGTGACAGTTATGATCAGCTCAAAATTGGTGGCAACCCTATTCCGGAGCTCCACTACGCAGATGACACAGTCCTCCTTTTAAACAGCGTAAAGGGAATAGAAAATTTAATATTGGCTGTCCTAAAGTACAGTGAAGATCAAAATCTGTTCTTGAATTTAAAAAAATGAATACAATGTCCACAGATAAAACTGGCTGTCACCCAAAAATAACAACAAATGATGAAGAAATTGAAAATGTCATAAACTATGAATATCTAGGCTCTATAATAAACAACAATGGAGACTGTTCGACAGAAATTAAAAGGAGGATGGCTATAGCAATGCAAAGATTGAACAGCCTTAAAAGTCTATGGTTAAGTACCAGCAAGGAGATAACAGAATTTTGAGAGCATGCATCTTCCCTGTGGCTACATACGGATGTGAGTCGTGGACTATCTCTCAGTCCTTAAGAAAGAGAATTGGGGCTTTTGAGCTGAAATGCTATAGAAAGATTCTCAGAATATCTTGGACAAAGAAGATGAGAAATATTGACATCTTAAAAGATCTCAACATCAAGGAAGATTGACTAATAAACAGCATCCTTTCTCGAAAGCTGAAACATTTTGGTCATATCAAGCACCACGACGGATTAGAAAAAATTATAGCAGAAGGCATGGTACCAGGAAGGAGGGGCAGGGGCTGACCGACACGAAGATGGGCACAAGATATAAGTGACTCCTTGAGTGTGAAAGTTCAAGAGGCGGGAGAACTGGCAAGAGACTGAGTTTCTTTCAGGCAGACTGTAATGAGAGTGACGATCTGCAAAGGACCTGCTACGTGAAGTGAAGTGTTGTGTTTAATCAGTTCTTTGTGTGATTGGCTTTGGATTTATCTTCAGTGTGTTGTGTTTTCAAGGAGCAGCACCTCAAAGATAAGAGGAAAAGTAATACTACACTTTAATAACTTTATGTTTCTTAGTTTCACAATACTGCTAAAATGCAGGTAAATATATTTCTATGAGAAGTTATTTACATATTTCGAAGAGAAACTAACAAAACATTTCTTATTGGTACCATTGACTTATTTCTAGAAGGAATCTGGATTGTTAATGAATCTTTTAAGAGGAAATATTAAAATGGCTTTAAAATGAACTGCTAATATTTTTTATTAAAGGTAATGTTATCCAATAATTATTTTTTACATACACTGCTAACTCATTTTAACAAAACTTACCAATAAATCTCTAATATTAATTACCAACATAATATAACATAAACTGCCAGTCTATCCCCAGCAAAACCAGCCAAAACATTTTTAATCAATTGCCAATAAATCTCTTATACACTGCCAACACATTTTCACATAAATTGCTAATAAATGTTCTTTCCATTTTTACGTTGTTCTGTCTATTCTGAGCAAGCCAGTCCCCACTTAACCCCCACCCCCAAAACCTAAAAACAAATTCTAGAATTTTGTAATTATTACTTTTCATTGAGGAACTAATATATTTTAAGAGATTGGATTATATATGCCTATCAATTCTAAAAGCTATACTAATTAATATTAAAATGTTATTCTCTAATTTCTCCTTTTTAGTTTATAAATGTGTATACCCCTATATACAATTTCTATTCTAGAGATTTTTCCTGTAATTTGTTTTTGGGGTGGGGTCTACCAGGAAGACACCCACAAAAACGGGATTGTCAGAGTGAAATGGAACATAATGTTAGTCCAGCGTGGTGACGTCACATCAAACTGATGATGTCAGCCCCACGGCCCATACTGGAGACAGCATTGGTGTATCCACCTCACCCATCCCTTCAGGGCTGAGCATCTGCCAGATTTCCTGGTAACTCCCCACATCGCTATTCTCCTCAGACTGTAATGATCCATTTGTGCCTCCGCACTGTTCAGTCACTCCTAAAAAACCCTCACAACGACCAGTCTATCTGCCTGGTCCTTTCCCAACACACTAGCATGAGCCTTGAGAAAATATCCAAACGGAACTAATTACTCAGGACCTCTGCATGAAGTATCCCTGTCTCCACCTTTCCTACCATACTTTGTGAGCCAGTTACAATCACAACATGTGTGTACAGCTGATTCTCAAGCCAGCGTAAGGCAGCAGTGACTGCTTCCACCGAGTAGATTTATACACAAACTGAACTAGTTTAATTAATTTGCAGCATGTGTTATTTAATGAATTTTCATTTTGAAGATACACATGTTTTAGCCCATTTATTCCATTTATTTATCTTCAGAATAATAATTCATTCAATAACACATGTTGCAAATTAATTTAACTAATTCAATTTGTGTATGAATCTACTCAATAACAATTGTTACCACCAGCCGGCACCCCAGCCTCACAAAAACTGGAATTTCCATTTCAGCTGTACGGCCTAATATCTGGAGCCGTCGTGGCTTTGAGTACCACTCAGACAGTTGCTGGCAGCTCCCCCCCCCCTACTCTGAGTACCATTCAGACTGTTGCTAACTCCCCCCCCCCCTACTCTGAGTACCATTCAGACTGTTGCATACCCCCCCCCCCCTAATACTCTGATACCACTCAGACTGTTGCTAACTTCCTATTATGCTTTGAATACCACTCAGACTGTTGTTTCCCTACCCTTTGAGTACCACTTAGTAACTAACTTCCACTATTCTTTGAGTACCATTCAGACTTTTGCCCCCCCCCCCCCCCCCAACCACCACTCTGAGTACCACTTCCCTTATGCTTTGAATACCAGACTCTTGTTAACTTCCCCTATGCTTTGAGTACCACCCAGACCATGCATCTATTACTTCGCTTTATGCTTTGAGTACCTACTATTCAGAAGTTAATTTACTCTTCTACTTTCAGTACTACTTAGATTGTTGGATGTTATGTCTGGTCTACAGCTCTATGAACATGATCCCAGGTAACTTTCACATCATTCTTTTAATAAAGTAGGTCACAGCCTGCAGAAGATTAATCAGCTCTCTAATTTCCCAGCACACCTGCATTTAAAAATAAGGCTTCTTGATAAAAATCAAATTACCTTCCGAAGCCGGCAGTAGAGTTTATAGACAAGATCTGCCTCATCAAAAAGGGAATGCTGCTGTTTGTAGTTATTATATTTCAAGAAGACATCATAGACCTGTGATCGGCTTCCACTAAAATTGGGTGCCCTCTTGCGACCTACGTTTATGTATTCCTCTTTGTCCAGATAACCCTTTTCAGTATAAAGGGATTCATATGATCCTTTGATAAAAGACATAATTTCTGTCCACACAAGGGATGGATGACAATCAATCTGCAACATTATCAAATGTATCATATTATTATTATTATTTTTTTAAACTGAAAAAAAAAAAAATATTTTAATTAAAACACTCACAATAAAGAAAGTTAATCTGTTAGCATTCATAAGAATTAAAAGACATTTATATCCCAGCAGATTCTACCTTAGAACAGAAAACATGAGCATCAGTTCATTGTTAATATCTACTTCTTCTATCATTCACTGGCACACTCTGGTGGAAAGTTCTGGTTGTCTGTTCATTTCTGGACTTTGGTCTCGTTCTTCAACTAAAGTTTTCTGTACACATAAAAAAAAAAACAGATCTGGCTTATTCATATGCAGACTGTTGGTTCCTTGCCTCTCGGGCAGATGCACTCCAACTCTGAAGGAAGCATCCTTAATTAGTCACCTTTTACTGTTAGGGGTTCAGTGGGTTTATTCTTTGTTCTCCAAAATGGAGTGTGGAACCGACATGGGGAGTGTTTTGGTTTCAAACTCCGGGTATGCAACTGAAGTTTTCCTAGTTCTAGGTACACAATTTTTTTTTAAACAGACTTTGAATGTTTCATTCAGCTCAACAGCAATTTTCACCAGATTTTTACTGCTGAGAATGCCCAAGCAGATTTCTTTCCTGGAAGCTCTGAAATATAAGTGTACTTTATTGTGTCCTCCTTGCTGGAAATTGCATTTGCCAGAGAAATTACTGACATTCAATTAAAGCTTCACACTGTATAACTCACTGCCACACATTAAACTACCCTAAAACTAATTACATCACTTTTTATTAAAGGTGATGAGAGAAGTTGCCCTTTTATGACAGTGTGTATCCATTCTTACTGACTGCCTGGCAACATGCCCAAAGATGACCTCTGCCTGTTGCAACCACATCCGTCTCCTTTAATGCAAGAATTATCATTTGTTTGATGTTTAAACACAAGATTGCTTTTTATCCACAAAAAGAGGTTTCAAACCATGCAAACTGAAAAATGCTATTTCAGGAAAATTGTTGTATGTTGCATTTTGTTGAGTCTGTTGATGGGGTCTTGTGGATGGTTACTGTTTGTTCACTCCATAATTCCTTGTATTTTCCCTTGAAAAGTGTTGGAAAGCATTCTCAATTTCCTGTGCCAGGTAAGAGGTTTGGTCATTAGTGCTTCTGTATCTCCTGAAGCCTGATTGGCTGTCACCCGATATCTTGCTTTCTTCTAGGAAATTAAGTAATCTGTTGTTCACTTATCTTTCCATGGTCTTTCCAAGGCAGCTTAGGAGGCTTATGAGGCTGTAACTGAATTTGTTTTCCTTGGACTTTCCTTTCTTGACAGATACAGATATGATCATAATCCTTCATGACATACCAGTTAGAAACAGCTTATATTAACCTTCTCAGTTTACTCAGTCTCCTTTGCTTGCCTTAGACCCCTGCATTAAAGGTCTTTATATCCGTTTTATGCTCAAGGGCTGGCTTTCCCAACAATTGCTACATCTGTGACAGGGTTATCCTGCCTGAGGCCCAGTTTTTTTTATGCAATTATCTGTAACTGGGGTGACATAGAAATACACCAGTGAAATATTATGCTTGTCTTTGCACAGATTAAGACAACAATTCTTGAATGTTGATTGTATAACCCATAAAATGAGGACAATACTTTATGTACTGTACTTTAAACAGCACAAACCACTATGGTAAGTCTAATATCTAAATCAGGACTATTACAAGTTCCAGTACAATTTTACACCATAATTTCTAACATAGGCATTGAGACAGCTGGCCCCCTGTTCAGCAAAACAATCCTGATCAGCACAATGAAACATTTCATACAAAGCATGTTCATTCCCACCTTACGCTACCAATACCAGACATGGTGACCCACAACAAACCATTAAAGAAAATTAGTAGCCATGGAAATGAGATGTCTGAGAAGTGCTGCAGGAGTGACCAGAAGAGATCAAATCAGAAATAAGGTCATACAAGATAAGGTCGGCACAGAACCTATTCTAAATTACACACAAAGACAGCTAATCAAATATTTTGCCCAGAGAAAATGTCTTGTGATGCAATACCATACAAGGCATCAGGAAAACTCTAGATCAGCATGCTGTGCCAATGGTTAAAGAGGCCAGAAGAGCAAGAAGCAGAACCTTACATCTTCCTCGACACCCGAAGCAGTAAAAGAGGAAGTGAAGAAGAAGAGATTTCTAATAAGTACTTTCCCTTCCTATTTGTTATTCTGTGCTTATCCCACTCATGCCTTCTCAATAAGGTTAACCTTGCTTCTTCCTACTCCCTCCACAACACATATTTTCTATTTGTTTACACTATCCTCTGTGTCCATTCTTGTTAGCCGACACAACAGATTTCATGATACAGTTTGGTGTACGCACACTGAGACACAACTGTTAAAAAGTGATTCAATTTCTCAAACCTCTGCCTTTTTCGCTATTTTAGGCCAGACTTCGTATGCAAAATCTTCATAAGTGCATTCACGTCTAGCATATGCTTTGAGTTCAGGTTGATTTCCCAGGTCATGCACATGTTTTACTTTTTTGGGAAGATTCACACCTGGATTAAAAACAAGAAACTATTAAATCATTTTTAAGGCTAAATAAAATTGACTTTTTATTCTGAAAAAATTGGCTTAATCTATCTGATTGACAATTAAGAATTCTGTGAAGTCAATTTAATAAAATCTAGTATAATACGTAGAATTTTAACATCAAATCGGTACTGTTGTACAGGTCCATAGTGGCTCAGTGAAGATGGTGATGAGGAGTGCAGTTTGTTAAAGGCAAGGCGGGGGTTGACATCCACGAAGACGGATGCATGACATTGAAGATGCATTGGCATTGAAAGCACATGGAGCTGGAGAGCTGGCTAGGGCAGGGGATACTTTCAGGCGTGCCGTGAAGTGAGCAACGCTCTGTAAAGGACTTGCTGACTGATGATGATGTATGGGTGAGAAACATGGAGAACAACTAAAATACAGATAAACTATAAATATTTATTGCTTGACGTTTGCATAAAAGGACTAAAATTGAATAACAGAATTAATAATGTGTATAACTTCTTAGTTTTATTCCCCTGCCTACATCACAAAAGTAGTAAACAGAGGCAGCAATGGCAGTTTTTAAAAAATGGCAATTACCCCAGTGAAGTGTTTAGGGAGAACTGTAAACCCATCTTTGTTCCTCACAATTTGTTCTGCATTTAATTTGGTGTGAAATTACAAAATAAGAAAAGTTTATGTTCAATGGTTGTGAAGTTATGGCACTTTTTAGTTAGTCTGTATTATTGTCGATTAAAAGATTTTTTGGTTGCCTTTTTTGTGTTTGTGGCTACCATATCTACAGCCACATAATGATGATGTGAAACAAAATGAACATATTTCTGGTTTCTTGCAATATAATTGTGCATTTATTTTGATGCAAAAATATAAAATATGACAAATTTATGTTGAATGATTGTGAAGTTATGGTATATTTGTTAGTTTATATTAATGTCAAAAGATTTTTCAATTGCTTTTTTTGCACCCCTCTACAGCTATATGATGATGATGATGTAAAACACAAACAAAAACATAATTGGTTTCTGAAATGTGTTCTCCATTTAATTTGGAGTAAAAATATAAAATATGATAAGTGTATGTTAAACAGTTGTGAAGCTATGACATTTTTAGTACACACTCAAATGTGTGATATCTGGAAAAGTGCAAGGGTTAAAGGGCATGGTAGTCAGTAAGTTAAAGCAGCATTATGGGTAAAATTAATGAATATAACAAATTACATGGGATAGATGTTTAGAAATGCAAACAACACATATAGTTAGTTACCAATCAACTTATTAGGAGTTATCTGGTAATAAAAGAATTAAGTTGGCACTGTAACTGAAAACAATTGTCAAAATGAGCCTATTGCTGACTCTAGAGTACACAAACTTAACTCCACTGCTAGAAAATTAAAACATTTGGAACACCTCAAAGTGCAATACAATAAACACTATTGTTACAAATTAAAACATTGAATACCCTAAAACATTCACACTCACTGATAACAGTAATGTGTATTAATTAACACTGAATAAAACATGTTGCAAAGGTAGGTTAACCCTTTCGCTGCTACCCACTCTGCCAGCCAACATTACTATTGTGCTAAGCTAGTTTCCCACTGATCCTTTCTAGTGTGCTGAATACTTTTCTATTCCCCAAAAGCAAAAGATGTCTCAGCGGTGCTGGCTATATTTTGTACACCCAAAAATATTTACCACAAGGGAAGTAGGTGGTGGCTGGAGTGCTGACAAGTCAGACGCACTATAACGACACCAAGACACCTTGAATTTAGAGGAAGGAAACATCAGAAACTAGATTTATTGCCCAGCTTTGCTAGGGATATTGAAAACAAAAAGTATCCTTTACTAAGTCTACTGTCTATTTGTCTCCACTGCTACCGTGCATGTGTATATGTGTATGTGCATATATATAGTAGAAACTCCACGGTGGAGCGAACACAACAGTAGCCTTCCGATCGTCAGCAGGAACATTCTTGAAATGTTTCAGCCGCTTTGCATTCCATGCAGGTAGATACTGCAAGACAATTTGTATTCTTTCTTTTTTCTATTTCATAGTCGTCTCCACTGTTACCATAGGTTTATTAAGTGCCCCGAATGCAACTGAGGCTCTTACTGCTCCCTGGCCAGTTCATATGCCACACAAACTTGCCAAAAAATCTATGGCCCCCTCACCTCCATTAGCGGAGGTTGGGGGGGGGGGGGGGGGAAGAGGGGAGTGGGGGATATGGAAGAACTGGTCTAGGAGAATCCTAGCACTTCACCCCAAGCAATGACTTAGAGTTACAATTCGCACTGTTGGCAATTACCCCCCCCCCCCCCCCTTTTTTGTGATAGATAAATCTACTGCAGCTCCCGCTTTAATCATAATTAATTGTATTCCCTCATGCTACTACCTTTTTTTTTTTTTTTTTTAAATGATGAATACTTGGGTGATCCATTGCCAAAAGTGCTAAGAGCTGAAATTTAAAATTTACACTTTAAAAAAAAAAGTCATGAAGGGATAAAGACACTTCGATTGTAAGGCATGTGTGGTTACCAACTACACTAGAACTTCATATAGCAGTGGGGCCACAGAAAATGGAACACGCAGAAATACGTCATTAGCAGCCTATGGAGCAGATGTATAATTACGATCACAGCAGCAAAAGGGTTTTGTAGAAAGGAAAAACAGCAGGAAAAAAATGTAATCTATAGGCACACTATTATTACCTTGTCAACTTAAAATTATGCCATCTAATTTACTAAACATATACCTAACATTGGTTTCTACATATAACCCAACACTACAACCACTACTGCCTTAATGATAAAGGTACAAGCAGCCACAATGCAAATGCTGCTGTAGAGAAGCAAAAAGAATATTTTTATCTTCACACAGTCATACAGAACAGGCACACAGAACAGGTATACAGAACAGTCATACAGAACAGTCATACAGAACAGGTATACAAAAACAGGCATACAGAACAGGCATACAGAACAGTCATACAGAACAGGCAGACAGAACAGGCAGACAGAACAGGCAGACAGAACAGTCATACAGAACAGTCATACAGAACAGTCATACAGAACAGGCATACAGAACAGTCATACAGAACAGGTATACAGAACAGTCATACAGAACAGGTATACAGAACAGGCATACAGAACAGTCATACAGAACAGTCATACAGAACAGGCAGACATTGGCTGGCTGTACAATAATGGGTTGTGAATGTATGCATGACAAGCTAGTCAGTTAGTTAGTTAGTCATTACGGTTCCGGCATCACAGCAAACGAGCTTGGCCCATAATTGCTCAACCGCCTATGCCAGTGATTCCAGTCACAAACTGAGTCAGATACGCTGGATACTTCAAGTGAATGCCGTAGCCATTCAAATATCCTCAGTCAGCAAAACACACACAATTTGATCTGGCAAAGCATAAGGTGCAATGCCTCCTTAAACACACTGCAGGACCAGGTGTCATCGCTGAAAATCAACTTTATTCGACGAAAAGCTGGGCGATAAGTAGATTAAAACTATTCCTGACCATTCACCACATGTCCTCGACAAAGTTACAGCCAGGACCAGCAAAAAAATAGCAGCTATAGCACACGCCTTGTCCCAGAAAAAAAAAAAAAATACATCACCCATCATTGCCACTATGTACGAATCTGGAACTCAGTCAATAACCAATAATCACAGCTCACAGTGCCGCCAGGAGCACTAAACTCAGTAGCTGCTAAGAAGACTTCCACAATCTTGCAATATCCAAACTGGAAGAGAAACACGAAAACGGTCAACATAAGCCAAGTTCTCAACTGTCATCCATTCCCTATCAATGTCGGAACCGGAAGGCCATGACAAGCTAGATGTGGCCAAGGCCCTTTGGAAGAAAATGAACAATGCAAGGGCATGAATCAGTTCATTATGGTCTGGAGACAATGATATAGCTGGGCTGGGAGTGATCAGGGGACCTGATCGACACTCTACATTCACATGGAAGGCAAGATGGACATATAATCAAACAGCTGCTGGCAACATTGGAATTGAAACTCTTCACTGGCTGCTGAAGATGAGGATGGAGTGTTTATGCGAATGTGCTGACTCAAAGTGTCAGTTCTGAGCTCAACACTCAGCACAGTCACACCTGATAACTTAGCAACATAACATAACTGGGACAGGAATAAGATCTGATATGAGTCTGGTGATCATGTGAAATGGTGCCCAACAGCACAGAATATAATGATGATGATGATCTATTTGTGAACAATATAAACTTACTTTTGTCTTTATAATCAACATCATCATTGTCACTGTCCAACAAATCATCTTGTTCCAAAGGTATGGCACTAAAAATGTCTTCCTGAGTCCCCCAGCCTGGGATGTGCACTTTCAATGCCAGATCCTCATTGCGTGGGAAAAAACTGTCCCCATCCACTGAAGCATCTAACATTAACAACAACTGTCTTGAAGTCAGGAACAGAGGAAAAGTGGAATCTGTCACATCCTAAAAGAACAATAAAAATCATGATAAATATTCTATTAAGAACCACTGAGGATGGGGGGATCAAAAGAGCTGAAATAAATAAAAAGTACAACAGAAAATTATATTTAAGACAGTTTAATGAGTTTTATTATTTATTTGTCTTGAAAAATTCTAGCACATGTGGGTGTGGGGGGGGGGGGGGGGGGGGGGGGGGACCCAGAGACGGAAGAGAGGGAAGATTGGAAAGATTCATCGTGAGGCTTCACCTAACATTTCACACACATCTCCATAAAATGATTAACCCGTTCTTATTGCAGGAAGACAACTATAAGACCATTATGGTCACATGTGGAATATTTTCCCATTTCGGATTTTTCCAAATCCAAAAACTTTTTAAGTACTTTTTTAGCAAAGTAAAATACTTAAAATTTTTAAACTATAAATGGTGATGCAAAGGAAGTTATGTTTAAAAGCTTGCTCTCCTATGACATACGCCTGGCCAAATCAGAAGGAGCTAAAACCAATTCCAATTCCAGTTGATTAAAAAAAATTCCAAACTTGATCCTTTTTCAGCCGCCCGAAGGCCTGCTATATGAAAGAAGGCTCCTTGGCTATCTTATTTGGTTTCCTATTCTTATTCTTTGTGATGTGAGGTCACACCTGATATTCCTGTTCTTTGTCTTCATAACTTCGGTGTGGTACTTGGGGTTCTGGGTCCCGCCTGGTCCAGCTCTCTTAGTTTTTTTTTAAAAGTGTTAGCTAAAACCAAGGAGGAAACATTAGAAATGAAAGGGCAAGAAGAACACAGCTGACACCAGTATAGGGAATGAGTGGTCTGACTTGGAGAAAAGAAGCATTAAGCCCAGAGACAGCGCAAATACCAGAACTTTAGCCACAAAAGTGGCGCAAATAAACAAGGCCATAAATATAACTGGAGACTGTTGGCAGCTTCGGCTAGCCAGCAGCAGGTTGAACGTTGCTGAGTTTTTGATTTTTTTCTTAAAAGCAATTAGAATTGGGAGGGAAGAGAGAACATGCAGCCTACTGTGAGTATAAGTGCAACATATATGTATATATTTAAAAAATGTCCAATGTTCTAGAGATGTTATGAGATGTCTTCTTTCACCATCTATACACAGCATGCCAAAAAGTGGCTCAGTTTCATTTGATACAGTGAGAAACTTTCTCAAACAAAAGTGCGCAGCTTTCTTTTTGCATCCATTGTTTTTTCTGTGAATGACTGTTGTTTCTGGAACGCACAAAGGGGCCTGTGTGCAAGGAAGAAGTACTGCAGGGGGAAGCACCGAAGGCACGATGGTTCATGCAAATAGAATCAATGTTTTTTTTTTAGAGTGGGGGGTTGGGGGGGGGGGGGGATGAAGTATTTTTATGCTCGTTGGCGATGGCTGCCATCGGCGGTGGATGTGTCTAAAACATTCAAGAACAAGGAATACGTGATACCTTTAGACTACAGAAAATCCCCTATGTAATCTTACAGTTGATGAGATGGGATGTCTTTCATGAGTTGCACCAATGAGAATAATATAAACAGACTAAAGAGTGTATGATGTGTCTTGTGAAAACTAACTCAAAAAGAGAATTGGTTACTCACATCCTTGGGCTAAGCAATAAATAATTTAATGGAAATTTAACACTAACAATAAAGAGAACATACCTGAATAGTATTAGGTAGGTTTCCATTATGGTTAATATGCCCTCTTTGTTTGAGATCTGTTGCATTGCAGAGTTTGATAAAACTCTTCTGCACCTCCAAGCACAGAACTGGGTTTTTAGTAACAAAGACCTGCACATAAATACAATATCAGTCAAAGTTAAGAAACAAGTACACAGTAGTTTTTTTTTTAGTCAAATGTTTTTGAAATTCATCTCCAGCTGTTTTGTTAATGTCTGGTGCATTATCTTCATTGACCTCTTAACTTGTTTGGTCCCAAGAAAAGTACTATATATGAAAAGTTATTGTCCATGCATATTATACTCAGTATATATTTCATATATTTTTTATACTTGTTCTGAATAAACAAAAGAAACATAGGCTCTCCTTTCAACTATGGCCGGCAGACAACAGTAGACGGCCGGTTAGTCGGAGTTCTGTCCCCTGGCTGCAGTGCAATTACGGACTGGAGAAGGCACGAATCAGAAAACACAGTGAGGTCGACATGCCTGGCAGACACTGCGCTGCGACTCAAATTAGCGACCGCATTCAATTACCGCTTCTTGTGATGCATTTCGGAGTGGAATAAAGGGAACGAAACAAGTGACATTATTACTGTGTGTTGGCGATAGACAGCGTGCAGTGCCCTACTGTCATCATACGGTTAGGGTTAGTGTTAGGGTTAGGGGTAGGGTTTAGGTTAGGTTTAGGGTTAGGGTTAGGGTTTGGGTTGCTACTGTGAGTTTGTGCGAAGACGAGATGCAGCGACACTAACCATAACCCTAACCCACACCCTAACCCTAAACCTAACCCACACCCTACCCCTACTCCTAACCCTAACCGTAACTGTATGATTATAGCAGGGCAGTGCACGCTGTCTATCGCCAACACACAGTAATTATGTCATTTGTTTTGTTCCCTCCTTTCCACTCCGTAATTGCACTGCAGCAAGGGGACAGAACTCCGACGTAACCGGCCGTCTACTGTTGTCTACCGGCCGTAGTTGAAAGGAGAGCCGAAACATATTTTAACATGCCTATTAGTGTCTTCCATCGTTGAACACACTTGTTTTTCTTACAGTTCTTTTGCCTTCTTGGAAATCCGCTGTTAATACTCCTAGGACTGAAAGAGTTAAGGAATTCTGAATCAACTAAAATGGGAGCATCTGTCTGAAACTGCCTAATTAGTTGCCAGTCACAAGCTGCTGTCTGCTGAATCAAAGTGTTGTACTAGTGACAATGAGTGGCTTTGTGTTGTAGAGGTCACTGGCAAGGTAACCAAATATTTGTTTCAACGTATAGAAAATCTAATATTTTGACAGATCAACTGTATTTCATATATATATATATATATATATATATATATATATATATATATATATATATATATATATGACTGTTATGCAGTTTGACTACACAGTTAGCTAACAAATTGTTTAAAGAGTTGTGGGTACGAAACTGTTAGAACTGACTGAACAGTTAATTGGTTCCACACTGCAATGGTAAATATTTTCATTAGATAAATGGATATTTTATCTCTGATTCATAATTCAGCCTAGACAATACTGTTATTATACCACATTTCCCCAAGTATAAGACACACTTATTTAAAAAAAAAAGAAGGGTTTAAAACAGTGTTCGTCTTATCCAACGGTAGTTGATTGTTTGGATAAGGTTTGGAGCAGAAGACCATGTGGACTTGTACACAGATCTGCCCCACTGGCACCACAAATGTTGAAATGCTACAGATAAAACTGAGGATGAAGCAATATACGAAAATGGTGATTTGTCACCAGACACAGATGCGGACAGGCTAAAGAACTTTCATATGGATGAGAGTTTTGAAAGTCATGAGGAGTCTTCTGGATTCTATGATAAATAAAATGTAAGTTTAATGAGTTGAGTTGAGATGATTCAAGAACATCACAGCACTCGGGGCATTCCCATAAGTGTTCCGTCCCCATCTTCAGCAACCAATGCAGAGTTCCAATACTCATGGAGCCAGCAACATTCTGATTAAACATCTTTCTTGCCTTTCCTCTGAACCTCAAGTATCAACCGGATCCCTTCGTCATTCCCCGCTGCAGCAATTTCGCCAGACTGTGGTGATACATCTAATCCTCCGAACTGTACACGCTCTCCCACAAGGCACTAACCACGTCTGCCTTATCATGCATCAGGTTTAACAACACGGCAACCTCCTAAGATGGTTATAACTATAGCACTCTAATAGTCTCATCATTAAACCTTTTAAAGATGGTTATAATTACAGCACCCTAACAGAGATACCATTAAACCTCCTAAGATGGTTATAATTATAGCACCCTAACAGCGACACAACTTCTTCTTCTTTACGACCTCTTTTACCGCTTGGGGTATCGAGGAAGATACAAGGTCCCGCTTTGTGCTCTTCTGCCTGCTTCGACCATAGACATATCATGGTGCTGTAGAGTTTTTCTGACGTTATCTTCCCATCCTGTTCTTAGTCTCTCTCTTGATCTAGGTCCCCCTCCCCTTTTGGTATATGCCTTGTATGGTATAGCATCAGAAGGTATTCTCTCCAAGTGGGCAAAGCATTTGATTTGCTGTCTTTGTATATAATTCAGAATTGGTTCTGTGCCGACTTAATCTGTATGACCTCATTCCTAATTTTATATCTTCTGGTCACTCCTACAATCTTTCTCAGACACCTTATTTCCATGGTTACTAATTTTCCTATGTGGTTTGTTGTGAGTGATCATGTCTGGCACTAGTAGCATAGGATGGGAATAAATATGCTTTGTATGAGATGTCTCTTTGTGCAGATTGGGACTGCCTTATGCTGTAAGAGGGGAGCTAGATGTCCCAATACTTGGCCTGCTTTACTGCATCGGATGTCAATTTCTTCGTTCAATTTACAATTTTCAGTGAATGTTGTTCCAAGATATTTAAACTCAAAACACCTGTTTAATATATGTATGTTCTAATGCTATGTTTAAATCCTACTTTTTTCCTTCTTACTGACATTACTTCTGTCTTTTCAATGTTGACTCTCATATTATTTGATTTACATTCTTCTTTCAGGGATGTGAGATGCTGTTGCTAATTCATGGCTGTATCTGCAATCAAGGCCTGGTCATCAGCAAAAAGTAATTTGTTGATGTTACTATTATTTTCATTCCTTGCTTATACTGTCAATGTGGGTGATGAGACACATTCCTGTGTTACTCCAGATGTTATTTTGAATGGTTTAGATGTTCCCTGATTTATTCTGTTTCTACAATTGCTATATAAGCTTTTGCAAACTTCAATGAGGTGTCATGACACCACTAAACCTCCTAAGATGGTTTTGATTATGTTATCTTAAGGATTAAACCAAGTCCAACTCAGGTGTACTGTGTAATTCTGGGTGGGTAAGGAAACATGGTAACTAAATAAAAGTATGTACAAGAAGCACTCACAGGAATACTAAAGAAGATGGAAAATAAAAGTTAACTGTGGCTTGCATATTTGCTTGAATAAAATCCACTTGCGCTGAAGGCAGAGAACTGCACACCTTGGTTCTACCCGTGATAAACAGATTAGGAAGATCTTCATCTTGCCACTTAAAACCAACAATATGATAGGTAAACTTTGAGGAAATTACTCAACTTAGAAATGACTAGCCATTCTTTAAAGTTTTTAAACCATGGATCACAAAATATAAAAGATCTCCTTTGCAAATTTGACATATCCAGGATTCCTGCAAGCCTCATGCTTCTCCAGCTGAACCAGAGTAGTCTGAACACAACAAGATGTTCTTAGTGTTTGTATGGTACCTGGATTGCTTAGACAAGACTGACTAATCTACCTTATGACTACTCCCAGGGTCAGTGATTACAATGCTTTTAGTTATATATATCTAAACACTATTCCTCAACAAATGCACCCCCTCCCCTCCCCAAAGGAGTTAATTTAAAAAATACAACCAGGAAACAAAGCTAAAAGTTTAATAAAATTCAGACACAAAAACTGTCAGCACTGTATGGGGCTTTGAAATGCCGAGTCTAAGACAAACAACATCTGACCTGATGAAGATGATCATACAGAACTTCACCATCATAGTCATTGTCATCATCATCCTCATCAGGACTTTCACTGTGACTATCTCCATCATCACTTTCAAGCTCATGACCTTTCTCCTGACTTTCATTTCTTTTGCTTCTGAGGTTATACTCTTGAGTCACATGACCTGCATCAGTGAGGTCAGCTGCCGCTTTACCATCGTCTTCCTCATCTGCAAGAAAATTAAAATGCAAAACAGGTTTCAATCTAGTTTTCCGCTGTATTTCATTTGCTTATGGTTCTAAAGACAGTTATATCATTATCCAATATTTATCAGCAGGACTACAAATCTATAACAAATCATAATTTAATTAAATCACATATACTGATAATTTAATTTTTTATAGCAATAAGCAAAAAAGAACAGCAGAAAATGACTGATGAAATATGTCACACAGATAGAGAAAAGAATCACCATAACAAAGGCTCTTACAGAACATACAAGGTCACTAAAAAAAAAAAAAAACCAGTGACCATCATGGCAAGTACAATACCCTCTTGCTGAAACATTGTGTGTGGCCTGTTCTTCTATAAAGATACTAGCTGTACCCGGCCATGCGTTGCTGTGGCGTAATTTGACTACATGGAAAATAGAGAACATAGAAATGTGTCTTCGCTTCACGCTAGCGATGTACAGAGCAACAGCTAAACCACAGCTAATAAAACTGGTTACAAAAGTGGTTATTTGGTTATCACATGCTAAAGCTGTTTGTATTTTTATAGGAGACGGAAGTAAAGCTACAACTGTACTTGTAAATAACAAAGTAAGTCGTAAAAAATAGAAAAGCGGAGGTAGCGTTAGTAAAATATAAACAAATTAGGTAATGAGAACTTGAAAATCACGTGTAAAGCTCTTTAAGTTCTCTTAAATTTAAGTCATTACCCCCCTCCCCTCCCCTCTTCCACCGACTACTGCTTTCTCCCTCTTCGAAGGATTTGAAAATCACTAACTGGCGATATTTTGTTGTTGCTGTAACTGACATTGACATCCCTGTCCATCTGGACTAAAATAAGGAGCAGGAATTGTAAAAGGTAGTGAATAGGGCTAGTGAAATATTTACCACATCATCCTTCAAGTACCAGTACAACTACTAAAATAATGTCACTGCTATCTGTGTTACCATCGGAGTAGACAGAGAGTCGTGAGCCAGAAGATTTGGTTCCGCATGGCTAGTGCTGTCGCCACAGACTGGTCAGGTTAGGATGTATAATTTTACTTGCCGACAGAAGAACGCCATAACCTTACCGGCGGTCTTCACATGAGAGCACTATGGTGTAACAGCCCAACCACAACTATTACTGCTGCTGCTACTTTAAGTGGGTAAAGCAGTTACGGTGACTTAAAGCTCTCTCAGTTAATAGTTTGCCCCCCCCCCTCCCCCCAAATTCACTGACAACTCTTTTCCCACATTGAAGTAGTTGGGAGGAAAAAAAACAACACACTTGAAAAGCAAATGAACACAGGAAAAAAAAAACACCATAATTAGGAAATGAACGCCATTGTAAACAGCACAGCTTAAAATTCCAACACAGATGAAATAACTAAATCTAAATGAAAATAAATGAAAATCTATAAAATTTCAGCGTAACCATGCAATCGGAAAGTTTAACAATGCAATCATAAGTATGCGAAATGGTCAAATTTAATTATCAAATGGTTTACCCATTTACTGTTTTTTTTTTTTTTTTTTTTTTTTTTTAATATTAAGGCAACATGGCTAGTGCTGTCACCACGACAGAGCAGATGAGGATATTATTTTAGTCCGGGGTAAAAAAAAAAAATAAACTACTGCGGATTCGAACCCAGGTCTACCGCACTTGAACCCAGTGTTCTAACCATTCGACCAAGCAGCCACTTAATCGGAACAACGAAAAGAGAACACAACTATTAGACAAATGTGTCCCTACCACTGTGTCGCGATTAAAACACAATTCAAAACCGCAGGCAATTGTTTTCTCGTAGACAGATACTCCAGATATATTAATGAAATAGAAATCGCACGTGTCTAACACGGTTAATGAAGTTAATGTCGCAGTCACTGTCTCCCCCGACGTCGAGATAGTCCTCGATTGCCCCCCCCCCCCCCCCTCCCCCATTGAAGGTTGTTTGAAAAAAAAAACAGAAAATAGAAATTGTGTTTAATATGGTTATTGTGGCAAATATAGAGATAGTCTTGTTTGCTGTACCACGACCTACTCTATGTATTAGTATTAGAGAAGGCGTTGGCTGCACGTAACTCGCCGGCGAATGGTAAATACGGCGCATGCGCAATTACTAACGTGGCTATAATTAGAAATCACTAAAGTTATAAATATTAGTTGCGTATATTTTGGCATTAATTGTGGTCACCTATCTCTAACAGTGACAGGTTGAATTTCAAACCACGACGGTTCAAAATCCGGTATCACAACAAACATATCCTGAAAATTTCAGCTAAATCGGTTCAGTAGTTTCCGAGTCTATAGGGGTGAAACAAACACACAAACATTGATTTTTATATATATAGATTCATTAAAAAACAATGTGTAATAATAAAGTGGTGAATAATTGGCACTAGAAAGAAATGACTTTTGTGAATATTGCTGAGAATGTCTAATCAGAGGAGACAAACTCTGAGATCTGCAGGTGTTACAAGATCACTCATTAAAACCACCAGGACAATGAAATAGAAAATGGTTTAGTCATAGTAACAAAAGATTTGTTTTAGTGGGAAAATACTAGACAAAACAGCTAGAGAAGGTCAGATAATGATGCACTATATGGACAGATTAAACATCCTTGCCACAAATAACAATACAAACACCAGCATCTGTGTTATGATGTCACAATATTGATAGCTAAAAGATCTGCAACAACTGTTGTGCACTGTAGTAGAAGATTTTTTTAAGTTTATCTATCACTTTTCAAAATGTGATGGCAGTTGATATCTGCACCATGTTTTGGCATTCTTAGTGTAGATTTGATCTCTTTCAGTCCCAAAAGGTCACAGCTGAAACCGAAAGGAAGCAATAATGACAACAAAATTGCATGTGCATTAGTTCCACAAGAGGCAAATATATGCATTCATCTTGCATGAGAGACAGAAACATTTGATTTCTGCGATATGCTCTGATGGAATGTAAGAAGTACTGTCTTGCATTGTCTAGGACAGAGTGTGAAATTTTTTTCTCATCATGACACATATATTTGACTTCTCCTGTCAGCAAACCTATATTAGTTTATAAATATCTATTATAAATAGCTTCATTCAGAACTGACCACTAAGAGGTCTTCTTCTTCTTCTTCGTCTTCACTTCCTCTTTTACTGCTTTAGGGGTTGAGGGAGAAATAAGGTTTGGTTTCTTGCTCTTCTTGTCAACTCTTCCACAGACCCATCCTGCTGTTTTAGAGTTTCTCTGATTTTATCCTTCTACCTTGTCTACCTGATGCTCTACATCCCTCTCCTCTTTTTGTGTATGCCTTGTATGATACGGCGTCTCAAGGCCTACTCTCTAACTGGGCAAACCATGCATTTGCTGTCTTCGTATGTATTTAAGAATTGGTTCTGTGCACATTTGTTCTCTTATGACCTCATTCCTGATTTTATCTCTTACTGTTGTCCGGCTCGTTAGTGCAGTTGGTTAAACCTGACAAAGCAGCGACCAGGTGACAAACTTCTTGTGGTCCAGGTTCACTCCCGGGAGTAAACAGAAAAGCCCCATTTCTCCCAGATTTATGGTATCTATCATAGAATCAAAGCCGAAGGTTCTGATATTCATAGTATCGAGCCAAAGGATTAACAACTCATGGTTTTTAAATACTTTAAAAAAAATCTCTTCTTGTCACTCCTGCAGCTTTTCTCAGGCATTTAATTGTCATGGTTTTTGCTTTTTATTTCTGGTTTGTTGTGAATGACCATATCTGCACTGGTAGCACAAGGGAGAATTAAATATGCTTTTTATGGGATATCTTTTTGTGCTGATAGGGATTGCCTTATGCTGTAAGTGGGGAGGCAATACTTGGTGCACTTGCACTCTCACTGTCATATTTAAGTTCTACTTATTTCATCCTATTGACATTACTTCTGTCTTTTCATCTGTTTTACATTCATCCTACACGAATGTACTTTCATGGTCGTATCTGCTATTAAGACCCGTTATCAAGAATAGTTACACAGTTTCTTACGCCAGATGTTACTGTGAATGATTTAGATGTTCCCTGATTTATTCTGAATATGCTTCTACATTCCGTATATAAACTTAGCACAATCCGGTGATGTGTTTGCTTACTCCACACCGATCCATTTTTTTTCTATAACACTTGTCCACTATGCTGAATGTCTTCTCCTGGTCTGTGAATGCCATAAAAAAGTTGTCATACTCAATACTTTTTTCTATTAACTGTTCAAGTGTGAAGACTGCATCTGTGCAGCTTCTATTTCTCCTGAATCTCATCTGCTCTTCTGTCAACTGTGGTTCTATCTCTGGTCTCAGTCTATTTTCTATTATCTTGGCATACATGACTTGAAAGAGAGATGCATGAGTATTCATTGCATTCTTGCTTATGTCCTTTTTCTTGAAAAAGAGATGCATGAGTATTCACTGCATTCTTGGCTGTGTCCTTTTTTCCCCTCAACAGTATTATAACTATTGCATGATGCCAGTCAAAGGTGGCAGATTGTTGAACCCATGATGCATTAAATATTCTGTGAAGCCATATGATGTTGCTTTTTTCTGCTGCTTGGATAGTTTATTTTGGGAATTATTAGCTCCTGCTGCTTTAAATGTGGAGATAGTATAATGACTTTTTCTAAATAATCAATTAGTATAGCTGCTTTTAGCACTGTTGCTTTGTAGCCTTGAGCTATTCTTTCCTAGTGATCTCTTAGAGGAAGGGAAAGATGTGTTAAAGAGCTCACTACACTATAAGTTAAGTTAACTAAAAACAGAAAATAGATAATGTATTATTACTATACATACTTTCTTTAATTTCAGGATATTTTTGCCTTGGAAGTAAGGGTGTACCAACATTCACTGCCTCCTTCCAGTAATTCTGAAATACACTCCACAATCGATAAAGGCAACATGTGGTTTTGCCCGTACCACTACGTCCAAGCAGGAGTAAAGGAGATGATGCTTTCAAACAGATAATTGCATCCTCTATATCAGTCACTCGAAATGGAAAATCAACCTGCTCATGGAAGAAAAAAAAAATATATATATATATATATACATACACACACACATATTTATTCCATGAAATTCAATGGATGCAATGGTGATAAATTTTAGGTAAATGAAGGAGCAAATAAATACCAATACTGAACGTTACATATTTAACTTTGAATTAATCGAAAGGCATTTTGAACAGTGTGTTGCCAATGCAGGACTAAAACAATAATAATACAAATGTGAAAATTAAAGTAAAAGACTCTTTGTGCCACTGGCTCACTGAGCATATGGTGATAGACCCATAATTTTTAGACCAAACTTCCCTTAATAGATGATGTGATTAACATTGTTCCAGCTGTCTTACCAGCACATTTCCTACTGCTCTATTTAGGCAGGGTTGAACTGATAAAAATGTGTGCCTCTGAAGAACTGAACCATTGTGTGCAAATTATGAAAAATTTCAATTATTAACTTTAAAAATGCAATTATTAACTGATTCTGTTCTAATGCAGATGAATACATGAACTGAATATTTATGAGTTGAGTTGAGTCAAGAATTGACATCACAGCACTCAGGGCATTCCCATGCATGCTCCGTCCTTATCTTTAGCAGCTGGGACAGAGTTCCAATACTGATGGTAACTGTCTCAATCTGGTTATATATCCGTCTTGCCTTTCCTCTGAGTGTAGCGAGCCGGCCAGACCCTCTGGTTACACCCAGGTGCTTCCTTCTCTCCAGGCCATAATAATCTTGTTTCTCTACTGATTCTGTTGCTTGTTCCCAAAGGGCCTTGACCACATCTGCCTTGTCATGTATCAATTCACCACCCACGAGTTCTGTGATATCAATTGTTGACTCACAACTCAACTCAACTCAATTTAAACATATTTTAAATAAACATTTTTAAGAACAATATCCTAATGTATCATGATAAATCATATCAACTGTCAGTCAGTGAAACTGGGCACTTTCTCTTGCTACATCTGTGCAGAAAATCAATTAAAATAAAGCAAAAAATAATTAATTTTACTATGAATTACGTTTACAAAGCTATACATTTGTCCAAACAAGGTTGTATTAACAATAACAGAAGTAAAAAAATTTTTTTAAAATCTCATTTATTAACTAATGTTAGTTAGTTGCGCATCCTTTACAGGACGTTGCAGAACCAACCCCAGCATTTGTTGGCTGTTTGTGGTTTTTCTAGGCAAATTTACGTCCAGAGCTTGCCATTGCTTTCTGGATGGTTGTTTCTCGATACCACCATCGGAACCAACGCAAGGCCAGCAGCTAGGATCAAACCTGGCACCCCGGCATTACGAAGCGCGTTCGCAACGCCTAAGCCACAGACACTGACTACATTAACTAATGTACAATATATAAATTTACATTTCTTTCTAGTGCAGGAGCATGAAATAAAAATCTACACAGAAAAATCAATGAAAAAATATATATATATACTAACATCTGCATCAATTTTATCCAGCACAGCGGACACAAGGGAGGCTGAAAAGGAATAAAACTTCAGAACATGATATTCATTCATGTGAGCACTTGCAGGTGGAAACAGATATCGCTGAACATCTTGCTGCAAATCTCCAGGCAGTCTTTCATCACTGTTCTGCTCAACATACAGCAAGGGGAGGCGTAGTGAAATAGACTGGTCAAAATGACCAACATTCAGGGCTCTTATACGTTTCTGTCAAAAGGGAAAATACATAATGTAAATTTACACAATTGAATTAGATTATTAAAATCTTTAACAGTCAATAAAGTGATTTTCATGAACTGATTCTTGAATTCTCAAATAAAAACTATATAAGCTGGAAGGTATAAGTTGGTATATACAGACTACAAATAAACTGCAATGAGATTTTGATTCTTGTTTAAAAAACTCTGTGACTATTCCATTGTGTATAAATCACAGAGCTGGTATAGGCAGTCCCAATGAAGCAAGTAAATACAGGTGTTTGTAAAGCCAAAACTGCATGGCCCAGAATGATACAGATGACTGCCAGGTGTGATGTCATGAATGACTATAGATTTGTTTTAAGTGCTACAAGACAGAATCAAAAGCCAGTAAAAAATGCCTCAATAGTGAGTAACTAATGTGTATGTGTGAGAGCAAATTGAAAAAAGAAGCAGACATTTTAAAAATGTCTCTGTATTTACTTATTTCATTTAGACTACATTCTCTTGTATAAATGTAATTCTCTGATCATGTAACTGTAATATTGTATAATCTCTTCTTCCTTTCTTTTTTCCCCTTCATTTCTTCTTCTTTCCCCCTCATCTCTTTTTCTTCCCTTATCTCTTCTTCAGGTACATGTCCTGAAGCAGGACAGTAATCACAACGACTCTTCAATGTTCTCAGTCATCTGATATTTTCATGACATTGATGCTTATTATATTATTATTTGTTTCCTGACTGAGTTTTTCACATAATCTTTCTGTTTTTTTTTTTTCTCTTGAGGGTTGTCAGCACAAGAGTTGATGAATGTTGTTGGAGACTGCAGGTTTTTGAGAGGCACACGTCAGCAAGGCATTTAATGATGATGATGATGAAGATATATACTCATCTAGTAGTTTCAAAGTAAAGGAAATTTATTTCCTCATTTTCTGTGGATATGCCCAACGAATTTAATTTGTCTTTTCATTATGGTTAGGATGTATGATCTTGTAGGGATGAGTCTTCAATAACTCGGCAACTGTTTTCCAGTTATGATAAACTCAGTAGTCTTTGACTGGTGCACACACACAAACACTGGACTCTCCATGGCTACAAGTGTCTCTACCATTTCAACATTCATGTCCAGAATCTTCTCAGGAAGCTGAGATATCTGATGTAGCAAGCAGTTCTTCTACAATATTTCTGATATCACAAGTCTCGGTATTGTCTTTCTCACACTTTCTTTAAATATCACTGTGAGGCTTAGACACTGAGATCAACTCTTGTAATATGATGCCTGATAAACTAATGACTTATACTTTAATCATAAATTATTTGAATTTACACAGATGGGGAACAGTTAAGGCACAGGTAATATACAGGAAGTATACTCTATGATGGTCAAAGTGTAATGCCCATGAGTGCCAAAGAGACTACTGGGTTAGTCACTAAGACCATCATTGCTGTTCATACAGAATACCCATCACTTCTACCTTAGGATGCTGCAGCAGGTGGAGCCTCAGAAAAGCAGTGTACAGAACAGTGTATACAATCAAGCATGCTCAGAGTGTGCACTCTAGTTATTCAGATGCTGAAGATAAAGGTGTTCACAAGAAGAACTGCAGCAACCAGCCTGTCACGCATTGTGGCAAATAAAGTATCTTTGTATCAGCAACTATAAGCTGTGGTGCTTGTTCTCTGATGAAACCAGAGGTACAATATCTCAAATGGATTTACCCACTGTTATTAGATTTTCTTTCATATGCTTCATGGAGAATAAGAGTACAAAGTACCTACCTCACATTAAAGAATAACTGAGAATAAAGCACTAGAATTAGCTGTCCAAAGAATGAATGCAACCAAAATTCAGAACCAGAAAACACCATGAGCAAGGAGTAAATAAAAATGTGCTGTATTAAGGATATAAAAATCTCTAGAGGTGACAAATTTTAAAATCACCGGATAATACTGTTTTTACTCTGAGAGAGCATGATGAAAAAGATGGATATTCACAGTGGTATTCATGCAAGTGCTTATGAAGTTACCGAGGGAGCAGAATATCAGATGCCACAACTTAGAATAGAAAAAAGAGACACTCACCTATTGCACAATTACTGTCCTAGTGATTGTCCACCTGCATTAGAATTATGTCAGAGAAAGATTGTTAACCTGCAGAGACTGAAACAGTCACTCACAAACAAATGCATGAGCGCAATGTAAAATCACTTGGATATCAGCTGTAAAATATTGCAGCAAATGATTCTGAAGTACCTGCGTGGGTTGTGAGGCCCCATTATGAGGGGGGAAAACACAGACTAACTGCCACTCCAACAAGCCTGATGTATAAGGCAACTAATTAGGAGTGTTTCCTTCAAAGTCGCAGTGCATTTGCCTGAGAGGTGAGAAATAAACTTTTCTGCATACAAAAAAGCTACAACTGTTGAATGGATGTGCTTGCAGTTCTGGAAAAGAATCAATTTTCAGAAGTGGTTGAACAACCAGAACTTTCTGCTGGAGATTATAGCAGGTAAATGCTAAGAAGAAGAAGAAGGTTCTGAAATAGCCAGAGCAATTTAAGCTCCAAAAAAGAATGTCTAAATGCATAATAAACATCAATGGCATTATTCTGACACAAGTACAGAAATTGATAACATCAGACAGAAGAATTATCACAGAGACGAAGAATAGAGGACAGGCACACAGTGCATTTTATAAAATTATTAACATCTTATGCAACAAATCTCTGATGGGAGGTTAGAGAACATACTTCCTGCATGCTGTAAAGAGCCAGCTTTAACATATGGCTGTGAATCTTGGACAATGAATAAAGAATGTTTTTCTCTCTCTAAAATTTGTTGAAAACTCTTTCTTACAGAAAAATGATTAAAACTGAGTGAGAGTGAGTAATAGATGGTATGGTATGGTAGTCTTAGTTTCAGCTTCATAGCAAACGGGTTGCCCCATCTTTGCTCCGCTCCTGTGCCAGCGAAAAACACTCAGAATGTCTATCACAGTCCCTTGTGGAAAGATTGACAGACTGCTGTCTCAGCATATCTAGCATACACTCGCATTAAAGCATATGGTAGCCATCCGAAGTGCTAACACAAACAGTCCAACATTAGAAATGCAGTTCATCATTGATGATAGCAGAACTTGTCGTCAACAGATCAGCAGTTGTCCTCGTGATCAATTTTAATACGGGTCCCGCAAGCATTGAACGACAGGCATCGCGCCATTTTCTGAATCTACAATTCACACCACCACGTTGGTCACAGTCGAAAAAAAAACTACAGTGAGTGAGAGTGAGTAATAGAGAATGAGTTAAAGAAAGTGAGTAAGAGAAAAAAAGTAAATTCTGTGATACATATGTGTTTGGGTGCCTAACCTTTCTTGGAAATATTTTAAGTCAACTCAGGTCCAGGTTCAAAGTATTAGAAGTAAAAAGAAAATGGTTCATTAAAAAACAAAACAAAATGCACCTGCAAACATCATGTAAAACTAGTATAAAACTAATCAGTTACTTGAATTATGCAACTCTTGCCCCTCTCATGTGAACTGATGATCCTCTGAACATCAGGCTGCAGCTTTGATTGCTCCAACACGATGCTCCATACTCTAATAGTTTCAGAGTACATTCGGGGTGCCTTAGCAGCAGACCTTTCAGATGTCCTTACTGTCTCTTGTGTCAGTAAAGTGTCTGCACTTTGATTTAATCGAGGAGAAAATGCTACAGCAAGCTCCCAGAGAATGTAAGCTCCATGAGGTAATGTGATTTTGAACAGCTGTAGTGTAACAGGTGTACTTGGAACTTGTTGCTGAAACAATATTAAGCTCATCAATTCCCTTATATTATTAGTACTAAAATGGCTGTGTTCAGATTTGGATATGTTAAATCAGTTTTTAAAAGTTGCTGGGCAGTCTGGTCTTTGTGAGACCCCCCCACCCCCCCCCCCCCCCCAAACTTTGCTGTTATTCCTGTTGTTGCTAACCCAATCACCCGAGAAAGCTAAATCTAGTTATGTCCAGTTGCAATAGCCCCATAAATGCTGAGATATGACCATGCTAAATACCACTGGTTCTAATGTGCACTTGGGCAGAGTTTAATAGACCAGGATATGAAAAAAACAACTAAAAAGAGCAATCAGGGAGATTTCCTTATGACACCAATGGCTTTTGATAGCCAAGTTGATGTCAAATTTTCCAGTAAGCTTCAGTGATAGGGGTCATGGCATGAGTCATTTGATACATATTGGGCAATGTATTTCATTAACAATTTTTACTCTGCTTATTTTTACTGATTACTCTTTTAATACACTTTTACATATTTCTGTAAAAAAAAAAAATATTCTAAAATGTTGATAAATAAATTTGTGTCTTTCCATTTATTATTGACCTATGTTCAATGGTTGTTTTCAATGGATTTTTTTTTTGGGGGGGGGGGGGGGGTTAAACAGGGGGTTGATTCCCATGAGTACATGCCCATTTTTTTAAAGGAACTCTCCTATGTCAAAAATACATACAGTTTAATTAATTCCATTTAACTCTTTCAGGGCGACATTTTGTCTGAACAGCCTTAATTTTGAGTGGATTGTTTTTTACTGCAACATGACAAGGCTAAAACATTCCTGAAGAAAGAGTATTGGCTGTATAGGGACCTATAATGTATCAAAGAAAAATGAGTGCAGAATAAATCTAAACTATTTCAGTGTCAGTATTACAACCAAATATTATTAAAATCCCACAACATTCAAGGATGTTAGACACTTGTGAAGATTGTTGTGCTTACCTTACTTTTTAACTTGTTCAACAACACTGCTATCCATTTCTAAGAATTCACATGCCTTCTCTGTTCAATTAGGTATCAGCTAGTTTTTATTTGAAACAATTAATTTAAATACTTTCAATGTTATGATCATTTTTGTATGACATGTCAGATTTCACAACAACTGAAAATTGGGAAAACAGCTGATCGAAACAGAGGATCTGATTGAAATGTTTTGTTTAATCTTCATCCTAACCTAAATTATCAGCAATAGGTTTAGCACCTGCATTATCAATCATAATATCAAGACTATTGTCCCTCTCTGGCTAAGATTCATCAATGACAAAGTAGAATGTAACATCTAGACCTTTTCATTTCCATTTGCTACAAACAAATCATGTCAAAACTGTATCACATCTAAAAAAAACTAAAACAAATCAGAAAGTGATGCAAAAGCCATGCTGAACTTCAAAAATTAAAGGACTTAGTTTCTCTAATTCTAGTTTTTCAAAACATGTCCATACAAGTTCATTTTCAAAGAAAACAAAACAATATTAGAGTGTCTCTATCACACGCCACTTTAATGGTGATTTTCCTAGCGGGATGGATTTTAACGCAACTTAAGTGTCCATTAGTCTACAAAGAGTTAAATATACTAGTAGCTGTGTGAAGAAAAGATATGTTGTTGAGCCACAAAGAGTAATCAGATGTGAGCAATTGAAAAATCCCTCAGCATTTGGTGTGTTTACTCTGGAGTGATGCCAGGTAAGCGATACTTGGCAAATACTCACCAGGGTAAGAACTAGTATGACTAAATATTCATATCACATGAAAACTCTAATGAGTAATGAACAGGTTTATTTTGTAATACAGAGAAATAGCAAGTGCCTTAAGAGTCCTTCAAACAGTAAAATTCTTTAGCAAGTGAACTGATACAACTATTTTCAAACAGTCGTAGCATCTGATGCAAGATGCCTTGCAGAAATTAAAACAAGAATCACCATGGCAAAAGTGGCCTTTAGAAAAGATACTTAAGATACTCACCTATATGAAGATATCAACTGCAGTGAGAATAAGACTATTAAAGCGCTAAACAGAATCTGCGTTATATGCATGTGAGACATGGACAATTCACTGGGATGTGGTTTCTGAATAATGCAAGGAATATCACAAAAGGATAGAAAAACAAATGAAGTAGTCCTCTTCAAAACAGATGAAAGTCATGAACAGATTAGAAAAATTAGGAGTAGACGTAAATAACTGGTGTTTTTTCGTACACATTAGAAAACTTGTTAACAACTGGCAAGACTGACGGAAAGAAAGCAAGGGGGAGGCAATGAGATAAATACCTGGATGGTTCGGCCACAAGTATGGAACGAGGTAACAAGATTGACCTGATCTGTGATTCTGGGGATCGTGTGTGATCTCACACAAATGACAGCCTATGCTCTCTGGCAAGGCACATGATGATTAAAGAGCCATTAATGTTGCTGAAACAGCATGAGAAAAACATTCACTATCGAAACACTCTCAGGAAACAAATGCTAGCAAATGTTGGATGTGTCGGTCAAAGGGTACAAATACTGTAGCCATGTTATGGGCACAAAACATTTACGTCCTTGGATGAAAGAAGAAGAAAACCACTCAGAGAAGTACTTAAAAGAAGTCAAGAATAAAGGACATCCTAAACATTAGGTGTACAAGATCTGTTTTGTGCAGATTAGGAAGGACGATTGCTAGTTTTAAAGAAACAAGTTTCAATTAGCTTACCTTCAAATGTGGTTGCCAGTCACCTGTTGCCAGCTGGTGAATGTATTTCACAACTAACTGTTTCAAGTACTGCGACATTACTCTTTTGGGCAGGTTTTTATGGGTACTCTCCTCCCTTTTGTTACCTTTCACTTTCTCTTTTTTAAATTTCAACACATTCCACACATCCTCTGGGGAAAAATGAAGATTGTTAAATATCTATTAACACTATTTTTTAAATTTTAACTTGCAGAAAAGAATGTAATTTCACAAAAACTACAATTCTGTTACTACTTTGCAGATTTGTGTGTGTTACACACATTTATTTCTGAACATGCAGTAAAAGACAACTCTAGTTCTGTATTGGTTTACTATTTTTCTCTAGCCCCAGCACAGATCTCTTCTCCTGCTGCTCTTATTGGTTCAAGTAGGTGAATAACAGTTATCAACTGATCCATTCAACTGCCTTGCTTCTCTGAGGAAATCAGAGGTCAGTCAGACTAGTCCACCCATTGCTAATCAACTTTTTACTGAAACCCCATTAGCAAGGCAATCACCCTGTTCATTTACTATTTTTGCATGCCATGTAAAAAAGTAAACTTTTTTTTCTGTCAAAGAATTCAACCTAGAACATATGATCTTCCTGAGCATGCTAGCTGAATCATTGAAAAGGCATGGCTGAGTGAAGGTCTGTTTGGTGCCAGGATATTGTTTTAGTTACTGCTATGATCACCACAGTCAAACTATTTGTATTCAACGTAAAAGCACTACAGTCTTTCTTTAGACCTCCCCTTCCACCTAAGCCACAAAAGCTTCACCTGGGATCCTCACATATCCAACAATAAATCCTTCTATGTAAACTGACTATATAACCCTAAAAAGGATATCCAAATGCTATAGCCTCTTTTTCTGCCTACACAACTCATTATTATCATCACTGAGTGCCTTGCTGGCACCTGTGTTAGTAAATGGCTGCTTTTTAAGTTTTTCATGGCTAACCTCTAAATCTAGAGGCCACTGCACTGTGTGCCACCTGGTGGATGTGCCTGGTAGTCAAATTAATAAATACTAGGTTTTATTGTTTGCATCTATGTCCAGTCTAATGCACTCTGCTAATGATACACAGCACTCTTTTGGCAATAATGCCCATTCCGTCATCAGATTCTATGTCCTTGAGCAAATAACTCTGTTGAATAATGTCTCTGGTCTGACCCATTAAAGATGTTTTTTTTGTGTGGTAAACTAATTTTTTGTTTGTTTCTCTCCTAATCTTACTATAGAGTGGAAGTTATGTGTTGGTGGTGACTTCAAAGTAGGTAAATCCTTCTACTGTCTATCATGGTTAGGAAATTAGGGTTCTAATAATATATTTTAAACCAGAAGTACATTTGCAGAGCAACAGTGAAAGCCCACCAACACTGGCTTCAGAAGCTGATGATGCATTGCATCACATGAAGAAAAGAAAAAACATGTTGTGACCACTGGACAGATCTGTGGAAAAAGAGATAGAGGAAGACAGCATGAAAAGATCCTTGTCATGGCATAGATGGGTGTCGATACACGAACTGATACACACAGTGGAGAGGCATGATCGCCCACGCCAGTCAGTAATGCACTTGATGATGATGATTATAAATATATTTGGAATAAGAAAGTATAAACAAAATGTATACACTTCACACTGCATTAAAGCCCTATCCACATCATGGAGAAAGCCACTTAAATTACTCCAGGTTTCTCCATTTTGATGGCACAAACTAGAGTTTTAACAAAAACACCACAAGAATGTTAACGACAACAATACTCTTCTTCTGCTATTAATGTTTCTGTTATCTAGGATCAGGGATAAGATTCCCACTGTTAATAATTGTTTTTCAAAAGACCATATTTTCTAAGGAAACAGGAAAGTGTCATGACATAGTCAAAACTCATACACATATCAATGAAGCAAACATACCTGTGCACTCTACTTCCCACTCTAGACTTTCAAAGGCTTTTGCACTGACACTGAATTCTTCAGTGGTTGACTTGTTTTCAACACCCTCTGCTAACTCTGGATGACTGGAAGCTTCAACAGTAAAAAATCAAAATATGTCAATTCAGAACAGTTTACTGCAGTAAAAAACAAAACCCTTTTTGTAGCACAACCTTTGTAGAAGGTTGCTTTCATCATAACTCCCGGAAAGACTGATCTGTCATTAGTTCTTCTGTCTCATACATTTATACAGCCAGGCTATGTGTGATATTCTGTGTACATTTGCATTAACTCCTCTGCCTCTACATCCAGGAACCATGTGTCCCATCACTATTCCTTATAAGCCCGTGTGATATTCTGTTGAGGGAATGTCACAAAATGGCAACTGTAAGTCGTATTTTCACTATGGCTTAATACATTGTCTCGGAATACAATATTTGCCACACATTTTTGCTACATTCATCATTAATGGCATGATGTGATCAACTTGTGTGTGATCTCTCCAGAATCCTCACTAGTGTGACTGAGTTAAGTGCCCTGTGCTGATTCTTCTCAGCAACGTCTGTTTCTATTTACAGCTCACAAAATGTCTGAGTACCCGGTTCATTCAAAATCAAACTCTTGGAAAGAGAAAAGCGTGGTCGCAACAAACAACAAATGAGACAAGCAGGACAAAGGTGGAGATAAAGTACCAGGAATAGAAGTTTTACCAGAATTTTATACAGTAATTTTACCAGTGTGAGGCAGCAACGTACCGTGCTCAAACAACTAACCCATGCAGCTGACATTGTAGCCCTACAAGAAACCAAACTTGGTAATGAAAATATTCGACTACCTGGATTTACCATTTACTATAAATTTAGCTATCACAATGAGGTAATATACATCAAATCCAGATAACTTCCACAGACATGACTAGGTGCAGTATTGAAAATGTGCAGCTTCTTGCCATCCATATAATGAATTTTTGTCTACTAATTATAAAACAGCATTAACCTTTGACATATCATTCAAATTCAAAATGTACATTCATTTCTCTTTAACTCTATACCAGACCGCTGTACTGCTTTTCCAGTAATTTCCTAATCTGCTGCTAAACCGTTGTACCTAATTTTCAATACTTTGCGTACTAAGTGAAAAAAAAAAATGTGCCACAAACTAAAAATAACCAACCAATCGTTGTCAAACCTCATGGTTAGTCATTACAAATGGCTTCCCCCATGTGTTTGGATTGACTCTTTGTGGTTAAACATGAAAAAATTCTATAAATTCACAGTGAAACAAGCGGCTGATGAACCAAGTACTTCAAAAGGAAAGTGAAGTAGGTCTAGGCTTTTTCACAGCCCAACAGGTGATCAATACTTTCATTGATTCAGTTTCTAAGGAGTCAGAATTTCATGAAGAATATGTTCCCATCCCAATTCAAGAGATACAGACAGTGAGAGCTCGAGTGATGAGGAGAATCTTGAACCTTAGAGCTAGATCGAATGTAAGAGAATGGAGCGTGTCCTTCAAATAGCAACATCTGGTGCTCACTTTGGAAACAAGGCTCATCCTGCTGGGTGGATTGGCAAACAAAGGTGGAATATTTGCGTTAGATGAAAGGTAAATCTTTTTTCTACAATGTCTCCAAGTTTCCTCTTATTCTAACCACTTGTCTGCATGTGAATGATATTTTTGTATATAATTGTGTGTGTGTGTGTGTGTGTGCGTTAATGCCCAGGAGCTCAGGTATAGGGGACAGTTAGGTCTGGGGCCTCAGGTCTGGTAGGGTTTAAAAAATAGATATACTTGTGTAGGGATTATGTTACTGCATTTATTTTACACCACCCTCTGGTCATGACTGTAAAGAAAAATTCATGCAAGCCAAGTCTGTCAAAATTCATGAACCTGAAAGTGTTAATAACGTTGCCATATGAAAGATAAGTGTACTTGATTTTTAGTATTCTGTTTTAATTTCCGAGACCATTCTGACATGCTTTTGGCAAAATCTGAAGCAACACTAAAGCTAAAGTCATGACTATTTCATGGTGTAAAAACTCCAACAGGTCTTCGCCAGACTCACTGACTCACAGGCTGTGAGGTAACATTATCTGCAGATGGGACAAAAGTAACATGTTTACATTGAGGTCCCCCTGCAACCTTCCCACACAAAAGAACACCTCCCATGATTTATTCATTTCCATCATAAAAATTTACCTTGGAGACACTGTTAACCGATCTTATATGTGTGCTTATATCTCTAACTCTCTAGATGTTGAGCAAGTTTAAAAAAACAAAAACAAAAACTAAAACATTGATACCTCCAAATCCAGAAGTTTTTTCCATGTCAGAATCATTCTGATCACTGCTGTCCTCGTCTGAATCCTGTGTGCCTTCCCCATGTTTTTGTATCCCTTTGCTGACATCCTCTGCCAGAAAGTTATAGTTCAAGCTGGGCAAGGTCATCAGAAGGTTTTGTATTTTCACCTTCTCCAGCTATGCAATCAAATTAAAGTATTTTTACAAATTACACTGCAATTTACCATGCATGAACACACAAAAAACATTAACATTAATAATTTAATTTTAAATATTGAAATGTGGCCTATGTTTGTTCATGAAGTGTGTTCTTTATTCATTTTTGGGGGGGGGGGGGGAGGGATACAAAATTTAATGAGTTTATGTTTAATAGTGAAGCTATAGCATGTACACATCAAAATATACGGTACACCGGGGAAAGTGCAAGGGATAACAGGCTTCATATTCAGTTTGTTAATCATTTTTGATATCATTAGAAAAAGGCTGCCAAAGATTTCCAGTTGTCACATTCCGTTCTTGCTCCAATACATTGCTTACATCTGTGAGACTTCCATTTCATGCTATCAATGTGCCTATATCACTTGCATACTTGACTGCTACTACTTGTCCTAAGCTGAACCCTGTTGACATAAACTGACTATTTACGGACGGACAAACTGAGGATGTATGTGTGTCTTCATGTGTGTGTGTGTGTGCGCGTATATGTGTGTATTTAAAAACTGACCAAAGCTCTAAATGTCTTCTACTTATTTTTCTATTCCTAAAGTTTCTAAAGATAAGATTATTTTTAAATTTAAAAAAAGGTTATTTTTAAGATTTTTACGAGCTTTCAGTGAAATCTCAACTAAAACTATGTTGTTGTCTCCCACAGCAAAGGTGTGGATAGTAACTGTTCCAGCAGCACAATGGTCATACATATGTTGTGCACATCCTCTTATACGTCCTTTCTCACTGGATTCACACTCAATGACATACAACCTTACACATCATTCCATCATCTAACATTGCCTTCTATTAACATTCATTCATAAATGGTTTTCAGAATGCCCGCCATGTCCTACGATGTTTTCCTACCGCTGTTACCCTTGTAAGCAAAAAATCTCCTTATTCATTACCTTTCACTCCTACAAATCCCAGTCAGTATATCAACATGAGTCGATGCAATAGGTGACCATTTTTTACCCTCTGCAAGTTTGACTGAGAATCAGACACTATGAATGTTCTGGTAAATCTATCTTCAGCTATCTGCTTCAGCTTCAGTGACTGCCTCCACAATTTTATTCTGCCGGGACTTTAAAAAAAAAATCTAGCTGAGAAATAACGGTTACATATTATGGCGGCCTAAAACACACCCTGACAGGGCCTCAGTCACATGTAAATGCAGACTTTCGGCGACTTAAATTGCGGACTTCCGGCAACTACCGCCACCGCCAAGAGTATCTCCCGCGCCGCTAGGCGCGGCACGGAGCGGGGCTAAACTAGATGGCTGGGACTCATGAGCAAAGTTGCAGGAGATGCGGAAGTTCTTGCTTGTGAGTCCCAGCCATCTAGTTTAGCTCCGCTCTGCGCGTAGCGGCGTGTGAGATACTCTCGGCGGTGGCGGTAGTCGCCGGAAGTCCCCAATTTAAGTTGGCGGAAGTCCGCAATTTACATGTGACTGAGGCCCTGTTTTTAGCGACCATAATTTGTGGCCGTTATTTGGAGGATATAGCCCCAGATTTGTAACCCTGCTATACACAACCATCAATATACACAACACTGCATCATATACTCTAACAACTTTTATCTATCAGTTTTTGTACCTCTACTTCTGCCATACTATTATCCCACTCTCTACAACTTCTCTAATATGCAGTTTTTCTATTTTTTTTATTTGTATTTATTTATTTAACTTTATTTTAAGGAAGCATTAACAGTTTATCATGGCATTGTGTGTATTGAGCAATCTGGTGATGGCCATATATTTCTGGACCAATTAGAAATTATTAGGGGATGTATTCAATATCATACTGACCGTCTTTGCTTCCCAGAGAATTATCTTGTGCCATTTTAGGCTAGGCAGTCACAGAAGCCCAAGTTAATGGACAACAGACCCCAGCTCAAAAGCAACTGGATTATATAAATAATATGCAGGTAGGCAAGTAGTGGGTCATGATAGCAGCCCTAGATGCTGCACTGACACACTCTATTCAGTACGACAAGAGTCAAGTCATCAATACTTAAATAGCACAGTCTGAATGAATATGTTGTTTACAGTACACATACCTGAACAGATGACATGGATGTAACAACAGGTGTGCGCTGAAATTCTTTTGGCCTTGCTCCTTTTAAGTAAGGACAAAATTATAAATAAAAATATGTCAATGAAAACCATTCAGACCAAAAACAATAATAAAAATATACAATCACAAATCACGAGTTTAACTGGTGCTGCAACAAGGTTAAATACATTATTCTCATGATAATACAAGAAAAATGAAATCTTCATTACCAGTTTATTTATAATCTGTATGTTCTTTGTGTTAAAACAAATACACACACATACACACATGCAAGCAACTGAGAAATACATTTTTGAAATTCAGACTTGGGGCTCCATTTAAATGATAATTTTTTCTTGATTACTGAATGTAATTAGAAATTTTGAGGCATTACTTTCTTAACAACACTCATATCCTCCCCCCTCTCCCCCCCCCCCCCTTTTTAACCATCTAATTGTCCCTCATGTCTGTCTTCTATGTGGTCTAGAGGTCTGACCCATTTGATTTTTATTAAAAAACTGATAAAGACTCCAAATTTCTCATGCTTCTTCTTCTAGTTTCTTAGGATAGAGAATTACTATGGCAAGAAAAATCAACATATGATTATTATATTCTTCTGCAGAAAATGTGGAGAAGCATCATTGCTCACATGAGCTGGCAAGCCTCTTGATGATGATAATCATACATCTTCTTCTTTTTAGTGTTTCCAGGCTGTCACTATAGTGGTTATTTCTGGACATTAGCTTTGTTTTAGGCCATGAGTTTTGAATGTGTATCTATTAGCCAGATCTGCTTATCTGACTGTTGGTTCTTCACGTCTCATGCAGATGCACTCGGAATTTGAAGGAAACGCCCCAATTAGCCTATCTTTCACAGTATGCTTCTTAGGGGGCAGTTGGTCTATTCTTGTTTCCCCAAAAATGGGTCCTAAAACCCACACAAGGAAATCAGACATCTGATGTCTAAACTTAAAGCTAATTTACCGTAGTTAATTTTGTTATCTAACCTATGCACAGACTCGGTTTAAACAAATACATCCTCTTAGACTACCACAGAGTCGTGAATGTATGGAAAGGAATCAGCATGAGAAAATGTAACTATCATTAAGGTAATCAGGTAATCGCAGTTCCAACTTTATAGCAAACAGGTCACCCCATAGTTGCTCTGATCCTATGCCCATGAAAATCCCCAAAAATGTCCATCCCTATTCCTTGTGGATAAAAAGAAACTGACACAGAATGTAGTATTAGTAAATCATACAGATAAACACAAACTAAATGCATAGGGCAGCAGTCAGAAGTGCCAACACAAATAGTCCAGCACTAAAAATGCTGTTCATCGTCAATGGAAGCAGCAGTTACAACTGATCATATGTAATTATTCACATAAGGCACCACAACTTCTCTAGCAACAGGCCACTCACCATTTTCTGATTCTGCAGTTCACAACAAAAACTATGTTGGACACAGTCAAAAAAGCATTCCAAATGAAATCAGCAGCTCAAAGGGTCATACAATGCACCCAACTTAGTAGCTGGGTGAGGGAGCTATATCCTTCCATTCTACATATGGAGCAAAATGTTAAATCTAACTGAAGTCAGAAGCTAAACTCGCCACCACTGAAAACAGTAAATATACGTATCCATCATATTGACTGGAAGTCCACTAACATCAAGACTGAAATACAACAGCTAATTCAAGAAGTTACAAACAACTGTTAGAGATTTGTTTGCCAATCGAAACGTTACTTTTAAGAATATGAGATTACCTGCTGACACACTGGTTCCTGGTGTACCTGGTGATACATTTGTTGCTGAGGTACCAGTTGATTTAACTGCACCTGATGCTTTACTGCTGCTGCTTACTGCATAGTGAGGGGCTGACATCAGTGAACCTTTAGAGGCTGTTTTCAAGTACTGAGCTCTTCTGTCCTTATCATTTAGGATATAATGAATTGCCAGCTTTCCTTCTTTGTTTTCAATGTCAGCTTTTACTTTCCACTGGCAAAGTAACTCTACTGCATGCAACGAATGATGATTAAACTTTGCCTGGAAAATAAGATACAATTGATTCAAGTTACTGACAAATTACAAGAAAACATAATATATGGTTATTTTTTAAAAATACCCTCCTCAGTAAATCCTGCAGCATTTATCCTGAGGACACCAGTTCTGTGTTGGTTTATTATTATTCTTTGGCTACCCGTGTAGTCTTTTTGTTTGGCGACACTCTGATAAACTTGCTGTTCTTGCAGTCTAACCATAGTTGCAGATTCACAGTTCTCAACAATCATAAATGTCTTAAATCTAGTAGAGCATTCAGTCTGGTAGTCTGGTAGTCTTAGTTTCAGCTTCATAGCAAACGGGTCGCCCCATCTTTGCTCCGCTCCTGTGCCAACGAAAAACACATAGAATGTTTATTAGAATTGCAGTTCATCATTGATGGTAGCAGAAGTCGCCAACAGATCAGCAGTTGCCCACGCGATCAATTTTAATCACATATGGGGACTACAACACTGCACGACAGGCATCACGCCATTTTCTGAATCTACAATTCACACCAACACGTTGCTCACAGTCGAAAAAACATTCCAAATGCAATCCGCAGCTCACAGGGTCACGCCATGCATTCAACTCAGAAGCTGGGCGACGAAACCATATCCAGTCTACAAATGGAGCAAAAATGCATCGGCTACGGTGATAGTCTGTGACTCTAGACATGTTACTGCTTTAGTCACAGATATGACCTCCATAATCAGACTATTTGTTACTTAAAAAGCTCCACAATTTTCCTTCACGACTCTCCCTCCAACCTGTGCCATGAAAGGCCCACAAGCTTCTAACATGGCGGATTAAAGACCCATCTGTATAAATGACAGCATCGCCCTCTAGAGCATTCTTGAAAATCAAGGCTTGAACTTCTGCCTCCACAGCAGCCGGACTCTGTTGTCTGCATTTTCTGTCTAGTTGGATGCAGACAGAAAAGGATATACAACACTCGGAAGGCACTTGTTTTATGTCCTCAAGTGAATATACTTATCAAATAATGTCCTCGGCTTGACCCATTCATGATTTCCCTCTTTTTAATCAGCTGCCTTTTATTATCTTCTTAATTTCACTGTGCAATGGATTTTGTGTGTCCGCGTTGACTGTGAGGTACGCATGTGCTCGGAAAATTTGTACTGTCTTCCATAATTGGCAAATCAAGAAGGTAGTGTATCACCCTGCATGTTGTATCTCTTGCATACCTGAGTATAAAGCGCATAGCCTCGTTCTGTATCCTTTCCATCTTTTCCGTTTGCTCATGGCTAAGTGCAAGATCGCCATCGCATATTCAAAAACTATAAGGACCAGACCCTGGTATAGAAGACATAGATGACGCTGCTCACAGTTTGCTGCCGCCATCACTCTCACCACAGCCAGACCTTACTTGGTTTTCATTATAATCTGATCTATGTTATCACCAAGTGCTTATGTGGCTGAGCTCTTTTTGTAGTTCTTCAGCAATCTTCTCTCTACCCTTGACCTGACAATACACTAACACATGGTCAGCTAATGATAGTGTTCTTCGGGGTCCTGTTATTTGCTCGCCTGTGATTCTCATTATGTAAACGTTGAACAACACAGTAGATAATGGCGATCCTTGTGGCAGGCCGGGATGTATTGTTGTTGGTTCAGAAGTCCAACTGCCACATCTAAACACTACTTTTCATTGGAAGGCAAAAGAGATCCAGTGAAGCAGGAATAGACTTATTTATAGTTCAAGAAGCTGAAATATCTTTTAAGGTATGTATACTCTATCCAGCTAATATATAAAACAAGTGGTGAGTCAAAAGCTAGTTTACAAGATGGGTACACATTTTGAGTTCACCAATGCCATTTTTTTTAAACATATATATCTAGTTGAATGCTGAATTAAGAATCGGAATCACAGCAATCAGGACACTCCCATATGTGCTTTGTCCCCATCTGCAGCAGCAAGCAAAGAGTTCCAATTCTGATGGTACCAGTAACTGTCTGACTATGTATCCGTCTCACCCTTCCCTTGAGTGTTGAGCATCAGCCAGATCCCCAGGTAACTCCCAGCAGCGCCATTCTTCTCAGACTAATGATCTATTTGTGTCTCTACACTGTTCACTTGCTCCCAAAGGGCCCTCACAAAATCTAGCTTGTCATACATCAATTTACCATCAAGTGGTGCAGAACCAGCCAGTCTATCTGCCTACTAATTGCCCTAAACACCAGCATCACCAGGAGAAAATATCCAAACGAGACTAATTACCCGGGACCTCTGAAGTCGTGCTCGCCACTTTGCACGGAGCATGCCTGTCTCTACCTTTCTCAACAAGCTCTGTGAGTCAGTGACAATCACGGCTTGTGTGTACAGCTGATTCTCAAGCCAGTGGAAGGCAGCAGTGACTGCCTCCTCTTCCATTCTCAAACTAGATGTTGTGATATCATATGCCAGACTTTGCTGCACTAAGTGACACTCTTTTGCTTTTGCTATGAACCCCATGCACTTTGTCTGACCTTCAATACAGAGTCATCTGTATAGATAATCACATCACCAGGGCAGGAATTGTCATGGATCATTTGTCAAACTTCTGATTCTGCAGCACCAGCTGGCCAGTCCCTGCACTCACGACCTAAAGTGATAAGAACCCTACACAAGTCTGAAACTTGCTCGGACACTCTGACCCTCTCCTTTCTTCGCCCAAATTTATCAAGCCAGCACACCTCTAATTGTGTCCAGTTAACGAAGAGCATTTACATGCAGTTATTATGGAACATTGTCCACCATGAAGTCAACAGATTACAATCATTCTGTGTAAAAGTTTGTTTGTTTGTGTTCACCGGCTGAAACCCCTGGCGGAAAATCCCAGCTGTTCATCCATGTCTAGACTTTGACTTTTCTCAAGAACCTGAGTTTTTTGTGTGCAGCCATTTTAAAGATCTGGAATTAGTATATTATATGTATAGTATAGTATATGCAGGCTGTCGATTCCTTGCCTCTCGAGCACATACAAATTTGAACTTGGTTATAAATTAGATTCTGTGCACTTAGTTATACATTAATTATGCACTTCTTCTTCTTCTTCAGCATTCCGAGCCCTTGAGGTTCATTGCTGCAGATATCACCCACCTAAATTTATCTTTCTGGCTGGCCCTCTCTTTCCAGTTGGTGACACCAAGTGTTTGCAGGTCTGTCTGGATATTATCTCTCCATCGTCTTCTTGGTCTGCTTCGTGGTCTACAACCGTTCATCTCCCTGGTGTATACAGTTTTTACTTCTCTGTCATCTGATATTTTTTCAATATGTCCTAACCATTTCAGTTTATTAGCTCTCATGATGCCAGTGATCAGTGGTGATTTGAACAGATTATGAATTTTGTTGTTGCTTCTCACTCTCCATTCACAGCTGTTTGTATCTTTGATGGGTCCAAAGATTTGTCATAAGACTCTGTTTTTTGAAAACCTGTAATAAGGCTTCATCTCTTTTAGTTGTGCTCCAAGTTGCACAGCCATATAACACAGCTGGTCTAATCAACATTTTATATATTTTGATCTTGGTGTTGCAAGACAGACACTTTGACTTTAGCAGATGTTGAAGGGCAAAGCATACTTTATTTTCAGATTATATTCTAGATTGTATTTCTTCTCTCAGCATGTTGGAGCAGTTGAAGTTTGCACCCAAGTACATATTTGGTCCGTTCGTTTGATTTTCATATTATCGACTTGTATGTGGCTTTGTTATTCGTTAATTACTGCATCAGTGCACTCAGTTATATGTTAATTACTGTGTCAGTAAACTTTGTTATCTGATGATTACGGTGCTGATGCATTTATTTATGTTAATTACTGTGTCTCAGCATTTTTTTTTTATATATTAACTATTGTGCCTGTGCACTCAATTATAGGTTGACTACTGTGTCTGTGCACTTATTTATATGTTCATTAGTGTATCAGTGCACTTAGTTAAATATTAATTACTGTCTAAGTACACTTATATATTTAGTAATTACTGTGTTTATCCACTTATTAATATGTCAATTACTGTATCAGGGCACTTAGTTATAATTAAAATTTGTATACAAAGAATTCATAGCTCTATACAGAAACTAAAATCTTTTGATCAGCTATTCTTGAATCTGCATCATATCAGATTTGAGGAGAAATCAACCTTGGTTCTCAGATCGACCTAAAACAGGTAGCAGAAAATTCATGGAAAGTAAAGGTGGCCCCCATAGTGTTGACCACATCATGCACTGAGTGCCAACTGGTCTATAAAAATATGAGTTTGGCATCATGTGCCTAATGTGTCAATGTTATGAGAAGGGTCCTTTACTAACCTAACAGAGTCAACCTTACCTGAGCAGCAATATGTAAAAGTGTATTGCCATCTTTATCCTGACAAGACACATCTAAACATGGAGAAATGGTCTTGCTGTTTTCATAAACATGCTTTAGTTTCTCCAGAAGCAAAAAATTGCCTGCAGATACAAATCAAAATTAACTTTGAAGAGTGTCTACCTGAATATCTATAACACAATTTTAACTACATCAATCTGTCTAGTTTGATAGGTTTCTACAGGGTCAATTTAAACACAAACATATTTCAGTAAGTTCTCCAGTTTTCTCTCATAAGTTACATACACAAGTACTCCAGTAAGTTCTCTAGTCTCCTCTCAATGATCACATATAAAAATAATTCAGTAAGTTCTCCAGTCTCCTTTCACAGATCGCATACACAAATACTCCATTATGTTCTCCAGTCTCCTCTCAATGATCAGATATACAAATAATTAGGTAAGTTCTCCAGTCATACACAAATACTCCAGTATGTTCTCCAGTCTCCTCTCAACAATGACATACATAAATACTCCAGTAAGTTCATTAATCTCCTCTCACAAATCACAGACACAAATACTCCAGTAAGTTCTCCAGTCTCCTCTCACAGATCATCATCATCATGTAGCAGGTCCTTTGCAGAACGTCGCTGTCATCACAGTCTGCCTGAAAGAAACTCGGTCTCTTGCCAGTTCTCCCGCCTCATGAACTTTCACACTCAAGGAGTCACTTATATCCTGTGCCCATCTTCGGTCGGTCGGCAACTGCCCCTCCTTCCTGGTACCATGCCTTCTGCTATAATTTTTTTCCAATCCGTCGTGGCGATTGATATGACCAAAATATTTCAGCTTTCAAGAAAGGATGGTGTTTATTAGCCAATCTTCCTTGATGTTCAGATCTTTAAAGATGTCAATATTTCTCATCTTCTTTGTCCAAGATATTCTGAGAATCTTTCTATAGCCTTTCAGCTCAAAAGCCTCAATTCTCTTTCTTAAGGACTGAGAGATAGTCCACGACTCACATCCGTATGTAGCCACAGGGAAGATGAATGCTCTCAAAATTCTAATTTTTATCTCCTTGCTGGTACTAAACCATAGACTTTTAAGGCTGTTCAATCTTTGCATTGCTATGGCCATCCTCCTTTTAATTTCTGTCGAACAGTCTCCACTGTTGTTTATTATAGAGCCTAGATATTCAAAGTTTGTGACATTTTCAATTTCTTCATCATTTATTGTTATTTTTGGGTGACAGCCAGTTTTATCTGTGGACATTATTTTCGTTTTCTTTAAATTCAAGAACAGATTTTTATCTTCACTGTGCTTTTGGACAAACAATATTAAATTTTCTATTCCCTTTACGCTGTTCGAAAGGAGGACTGTCATCTGCGTAGCGGAGCTCCAGAACAGGGTTGCCACCAATTTTGAGCGGATCATTACTGTCACAAGTCTGGTCATTTTTGACATTTCTCATTATATTTTCTGCATATATATTGAATAGGTGTGGTGAGAGAATGCCTCACCCCCTTTTGCACCTCACAGATCACATATACAAATAATCCAGTAAGTTCTCAAGTCTCCTTTCACAGGTCACATAAATATTCCAGTAATTTCTCCAGTCTCCTCTCACAGATCACATACACAAATACTTCCACCCACCATAGGAGGATATCGCCTAAACAGAGAGTCCTGGGAAAATGCAGCAATTTTTGTATATGTATGAGGGATTCCACTCGGGGATGGAAACTTGTGCTACTGCAATTGATCTTGAGGATGTGTACAACAAGGTACCATTTGACTTTTTGACTGATCAGCTTCCTGATCTCACTCTCAGCCCGTTCCTTATTAACTGGATCGTCTCAGCTCTTTTTAAGCAGAAGTGGTGTTCAAACGTGGTAGTTGGGCATCTGAACCAATAACACCCTGGTCTGCCGCAAGATTCACCTTTATCCCCAATATTTTTCAACATTTACACCATGAGAATGCCAGGTGAGCAGATCATGGGCCCGGGAAGGACTGATGTATGCTGATAAAGTTTTTAAACCCACCAACACTAACTGTGAGCCTGTGTTTGGAGATCATGGAGGACTCATCAATGAAGTATTTAGAAGTGTGTTTTGACCACAATCTTGCTTTTTATGAGCAAGTGAACCACGTGATAATGAAGGCAAAGAAAGGTTTGACAGCACTAACGATTATGGCTGCGACAAACTGTGAGCAACATCATCTATTTTTCTCATACCAGGGTCTGATCGCTTTCCATAACTGAGTATGCACTAGCGATTCTGACTCTTAGCCATATACAAACAGACAGACTAGATCAGATACAGAATGAGGCCATGCACATCACTTAGATGCACAAATAATACAGCATGCAGAGCAATGCGTTACCTCCCTTATCCTCCAACCATGACAACAGTGATCTGTTGAGCACGAGCGTATCTATGTTTCAGTGCTGATACACACCATCCATTGCAGAATAAGATTCGCAGGAAGAAGGTTTGTAGGTTGAAAGAGGAAAATACTGGGTAGGTCAGGCTGAGGACATTATTCAACAAGTTTGTTCAATTGAGGACATAGAACCTGGTGAGCAATGGATACGAGTGCCAGCAGAGTTGGGTACATCCTTTTCAGTCTGCATAAAACTGGGTAGAGATTGCAAACAACAAGGCCTGTTGTTGGTTGAGGCTGAAGTTCAAGCCTTAATTCTTGAAAATTCTGCTGCAGAAAAAATACTGTAAATAATGCTGTTCACTGAAATAAACAATTTGACAACATTTTATGATCAGTTGAAAGCAAACTCGGACTCATACCTGGGTCATTCTTCAAAGCCACATGCAATGCAACATGATATGGAGTGTCACCAGCAGTTAGAGTCATGCCTCGAGGATCGGCACCCAGTTCAAGAAGTTTCAATACAACCTGGAAGTTTACATGCATGAATCTGGGTAAACTGTTTTGATGTATATATGAATTAATGGTGTCGCAAAATTATTAAAAAAAAATAAAAAAATATATTTATATGTTTAAATCCACCTCTCTATATATACCCTTTCATGTCTTTGTTGACACATAAAACATTTACAAGTGATCTCCACTGCTGCCGATCTGGTGCTTCACCAACTTAGTATTATGTTCTAACATTCCAGCATCCAAACCATGAAGGGTTTGTTTTGGAAAGAAAAAAAGGATTCACAGACTCGCTATTGACTTTCTTTCAGCTTTGATCCCCAACTATTGTTCACCAGTTATCTGGCTAATTTCACTTCTTTACATTGGTACACTTGACCCTGTTTTCCATAACAAGATTGTCACCCCCCCCCCCCTTTTTCCTCCTCCTTCCCCACCCACTCACTCACCACCACATCAGCACAGCTCTGTTATAAGAATCATTAGAATACACAAGTGAGGTGCCACGATGAGGTGCAACAAGATGTATTTACAGGGAGAGGTAACTTCTTATTCTCTCTTCTTGTTCGCGTTCATTGTTTGTAAGCAGAAAGTTCTGGTTGTTCTTCCACTTCTGGACTAAGGTCTTGCTCCAGAACTTAGGTTTTGCATGCACATCTATTCTACAGATCTGGCTTATTTGTGTGCAGACTGTTGGTTCCTTACCTCTCAGGCAGATGTACTTTGACTTATAGGAAAAGATCCCTAATTACTTGCCTTTTACAAAAATGCTTGTTAGGGTGCAGTGGGTCTGTTCTTTTCACCTAAAAATAGGGCCCCACAATGACCACTAATAGAAATTTAGTTAACTATAATGAGTCAGACATCAAGGTTTTGGGCCACAATCTGCACTCAGGTAAATATAAACTAGCTGACCGATCCTAAATCCCAGGCGCACCTAGCATAAAATCTGTACCAGGAAATATTCTAGAAAGTAAAGGTGGCCACATCACCTACTAAGTGCTGACTAGTCTATTAAATAACCACTATAAACCAGTAGGAAGTTCACAGATAGTTTCTGTAAATATTGTATGGATATTCACAGTGTGGCTCTTAAACCAGTCACCCTACATTTTAACAGATATGACCACTGAGGTGAAATCAATATCTAAATTACTGCCATAGAATCTTGCTCAGGTGACCAAACCAGATGCCTCTCGTTGGAAAATATCTTTACTCAGTTTCAGCAATCTTAGCCCTTCAGGGATCAATCTTTGGTAAACCATTATTTCAATATATTAGGGGGGGGGGGGGGGGGTGTTATTTTTATCTCTTGCTTTTGTATCTATGTATATTTTTTTTCTATTTTACTGAGTGAGCTTTCTAGTCGTAGTTTGTGCTATATTTAGTACTTCTTGTCTAGCTGTAAAACAAAAATCAGTAAGGGACCACTTTTCCCTCCATAATATCTACTGAATGTATGGTGCTGAATACAATTTGTAGAAGCATTTTCACTCAGTGAGTGAAGTGGTCAACACCACACAACTGCTTGTTGCAGTTAACAGTTACTTTGAAGAATACTTATAATTAACATATGCATATGTATGCAAAAGAAAGGAAGTGAAACGTAGGCAAGCTCATCAAGCTAACCTAAGATAAACAAAATTAAATTGTAATTCATACCATTAAATATACCAAATTAGTTTACAGCAAGAAAGAAATGAAAGAGACAATTGAACAAACATTTTCATTAAATTACTGCCAAAGTATCATTTACATCAACATAAATTGAAAGCATTTAAATTAACAAATATCACATGGGGAAAAGCTAGTAAACAGTCAACCAGTGAAAGACTGAAAGTAATAAGAAGACGTCTATCAATTGGCAAATGAGGTTAGAGTGTGAATAATAATAATAATTATGTTACAAATTTTAAGAACAAAAAGAGAAATTAATGCCTGATGATATAACTTTAAAATCGAATAATAATTTAACATGTGGAAAAGAAAAAGGAATAGGAGATAATAAAAAGATGATAAAACACAAATCAAATCTAGTGGCAGTGTGGTATGGTGGAAAACTGGTGGACAGATTGCCAGACTAATTTCAAATATTATTTTTGCTGAGTAACCTGAAAAAAAAAATGAAATAAATATTTTACACGTTTTCTCTATATTTGCGTATCATCATCTAATGTGACTTTAGTGTACCTAAATGTTTATTTATGGATCTTTAATTGAAATGGGAGCCGCTGTCATGTAGGGGCTAGAGGCATGTCTGCAGATATAAATGTCACTGGTTCAAATTTGAGCCGTGCTGGACTTGTTGTTGTTGTTTTGTTGTTGAAAAATGAACTTGGCGTCTAGGTTGTCCAGCTTTAAAGGGCTACCAGGTATGGTAGGTAGTAGGTGTGGGTGTAAAGCCGGCTGGCCTGATGCTGATCAAGTGCTGACTGGTGTATTAAATATAGGTCTAATCCTTTATATCCAATAGCACTAAAGGCACAAAACGGGTCCTTTATATTCAATTAAAATATAGAAACCACAAATCAGATAGATATGTAACAACAGAAGATCATGACTATATATATATACACACACACATACACACAAACACACACTGTAAACAAGTTATATATTTGTCATCTTCATCATTTTTGTATATCTTCTTCTTTTATCAATGTCTGCTTATGCTGCTAGGTGTTGCAGTTCATCAGACGATTGGCAGCCGAGCCAGGGCACGCTCAGTCGCTTAATATGCTGTGATGGTATGCAGTCTCAAGGTGTCAGTGACTCCTCAAATCCATCTTCTCTGTCTTTCCCTGCCGTCTTGATGTTTTTCATCGGAGCCTGCCAGTGTGTTGGGAAATGAACAGGCGGACAGACTGGCTGGCTCTGCACAACTTGGTGGAATACTGATGCATGATAAGGCAGACGTGGTTAGTGCCTTGTGGGAGAGTGTGTACATTTCTTAGGAGCAGATGGATCACAAGTCTGGTGAGATTGAGGCAGTGGGGAGTGACAAAAGGTTCTGGCAGAAGCTCAAGGCTCAGAGGAAAGGCAAGACGGACGTTTAATCAGAATGCTACTGGCACCATTAGTATAGGAACTCTTCGCTGGCTGCTGAAGACGGGGACGGAGCACTTATGAGAATGTCCTGAGTGCTGTGATGTCGGTTCTTGAATCAAATCAAATCAAATCAATCTTGATGTTTCGATTTTTAGGTTGTACGCTCTTGGTACTGGCATCGTTTTCCTTATTTATTACATGAAAATAGGAATGACATATTCAAACAAGTGCAATGTGAATGCATGCCCAGAAAAACTGCGGACAGGATAACACGTCAGACAACACAGAAGCATGTCACAAGCATAACTACACAGTGAAGTATTTATTGTAGTTCATGTGAAATAAATTGTACTTGTAGCATGAATACATACCTGCCATTCTAAATTCCTCACAGCAGTTTCAAGAGTGGAGGCTGACGTTGCTGGATCAAGAGTAGCTCCATTCTTCACAAACAAGTTGATCAGCTTTATTCTTACAGATTCCTTATCAACAAGAGACTGATCTGCGACCAGATCTGCTAGTGACAAGCTTTTTGCAAACTTTGACACTGCGTGCTGACCCTTTGTTTGTTTGAATCTGTTCACAAGAATCTCCAGTTGTACCCAGTTTCCAGAAATAGCCACAGCAATCAACACATCCTTGAACTTTGTTGCATGAATTTTGAAAAATGATGATGGGATTTCTGTATATCAGATTTTGAAAATTATATTTTAAACATAAATTAGGAACATAAATTATAGAAAGGAAATCATCACCAATAACATTAAAGCCCCTCCCCACTGATTTTAAAAATTTTTTTTATTATTTGTAAATTCTCACTTTCTACTTTTTGGCAACAGATCTGGTAATCTGGTAATCTTAGTTTCAGCTTCATAGCAAACGGGTCGCCCCATAGTTGCTCCGCTCCTGTGCCAACGAAAAACACATAAAATGTTTACCACAGTTCAAATGAAATCCGCAACGGATGACTCAAGTGTACATTTTTTTCGGCTCTTCTCTGAACTTCTACCCCCGCATTATGGCGCCAACAAATATCCGTACGGAGCTCAGTTCTATTAAAAATATGTGAACTTCCAGCGACGAACGAATCACAGCAAAACTAGGATTACCTGACACTCTCAAGAGATGCAACACTGCAGACAATAGTCATCATCATCATCATCAGGTGACTTGCCGACTGGCGTGGGCGATCATGCCTCTCCATACGATAGTAGCAGACAATAATAGCAACCGTTAACACTTTCGAGCGTTTCTGCAGACTATACTAGCAGACGATACTAGCGACCATGGAAAATTTCGAGACACTCAACATTACTGACGATAACAGCCACATGGCGGGGAGTCCAGGTGCGCCGACCCAGATTAGCATCGTTATTGTCCTAAAACTTGTCGGCATGCGCAAAATGCAGTTACACTACACGCCGACAGTATCCCCCGGCGTGGATGGGGTGCCTAAACTAGGTGCCTGGGACTCACAAGCAAATTAATTGGAAGAAGTTGCAGGAGATGCGGTAGCTGCTGCTCGTGAGTGCTAGCCATCTAGTTTATCCCCATCCGCGCCACGCAAAGCGGCGCAGGGGATACTGTCGGCGGTGAGGTATAGTCACAGAAACAGGTCCGCAAGTAACATATCGCTGAGATCCTGTTAGAGCATTTGTTTCATTATACGGAGCCGGCATATTTTTAATAGAACTGAGCCCCATACGGATATTTGTTGCCGCCATAATGCGAGGGTAGAAGTTCGGAGGAGAGACTTTTTTTCATATAGTAACATGATGACTGACTACAAACAATATACAAGATTAAAGTAGGAGCCGCGGTAGATTCATTAATCAAATTTTGGAATAGGGGCTGGGAACAGTTCTCTCCATTAATCACAGAGCTCTCGGTGAGGGGGCGGTAGCTTCGTTCGTCAAGTTTGTGATATGAAAGTTTGTGAAACTCTCCGTGTAGTTTCTACTGCATACATTCTTTACATTGCTTAGCACAGGGCAGACAGCTATAGCTGGGAATGTAGCAGTGAAAGAGTTAACACAACATTTGATGTGCTCATAATGTGAAGCAGCTGTCACAGACGGTTTCTCAAAATGTGAAGCAGCTGTCACAGACGGTTTCTCAAAATGTGAAGCAGCTGTCACAGACTAATTCTCAAAATGTGAAGCAGCTGTCACAGACGGTTTCTCAAAATGTTAAGCAGCTGTCACAGACGGTTTCTCAAAATGTGAAGCAGCTGTCACAGACGGTTTCTCAAAATGTGAAGCAGCTGTCACAGACGGTTTCTCAAAATGTGAAGCAGCTGTCACAGACTAATTCTCAAAATGTGAAGCAGCTGTCACAGACGGTTTCTCAAAATGTGAAGCAGCTGTCACAGACGGTTTCTCAAAATGTGAAGCAGCTGTCACAGACGGTTTCTCAAAATGTGAAGCAGCAGTCACAGACTAATTCTCAAAATGTGAAGCAGCAGTCACATACTGATTTTCAAAATGTGAAGCAGCTGTCACATACTGATTCTCAAAATGTGAAGCAGCGGTCACATACTGATTTTCAAAATGTGAAGCAGCTGTCACATACTGATTCTCAAAATGTGAAGCAGCTGTCACATACTGATTCTCAAAATGTGAAGCAGCTGTCACAGACTAATTCTCAAAATGTGAAGCAGCTGTCACATACTGATTTTCAAAATGTAAAGCAGCTGTCACATACTGATTCTCAAAATGTGAAGCAGCTGTCACATACTGATTCTCAAAATGTGAAGCAGCTGTCACATACTGATTCTCAAAATGTGAAGCAGCTGTCACAGACTGATCCTCAAAATGTGATTGTATATTACACAAATAAAAGATTAGAAACAAACCATGTGCCACGTCATAAGACAACAGGACAGCAATCCGCTGAACAGCTCTAGTATTCAGACCTTTGTGATGCAAGTTATCACTGTTGCTGCAGTTAATCACATCCACCAACTCTGAAAACTCTGAAATAAAATATCAAATTTTATAGTAAAATGAGCACAGCTGAATGAATACGATTCTGAAGTTTGCTAATAAAACACACATGGTCTTCAAAATTAAAAACAACCATATATGTACATTTTTCAAAGATCTGGCTTATTCAGTCATAGTAATTAACAGTTCAAACATTCATATCTGGAATTTTCAATCTTATATATATGCCAGATAAACACACGCCCGCCCGCCCTATAATGTCAAACTGTCCAGCATCTTCTCTCTCGGCCTCTCCCTCCAATGGTATTACTGGCACCCATAATTAGGGGTATTATTTTTCCCAATGAACACGAACGAGAAATTGTTTATGGCATGCTTGTATTTTAATCATGTGAGAAATGACAATTTAAGTGAAACTCAACACACAAGTGATAACAATTGGTGTGGCCTGGAGTTATGGCATTTGACTAGCAAGCTTAACATCCTACTGAATGACACTTCTTGGATAAGTTACAAAAATTAAATTTATACTAGAGGCCTCATGTGCAGGATATAACCTCCAAGGCAAGTGAAATTTTAAAGAGAAAGTTGGTTAGACAGCCGCCCTGAAAAAAACTGTGTGTGTATATACATGTGTGTGTGCACACACGTATGGTGTGTGACATGTTATGAAAAACACACACAAAAGACTAGATCCACTTATTCAGTTTCTTAAATAACTTACATCAAACAAAATCTTACCCTCAAAATAGTTTTCCTTTGCATGCCATAATAAGGCTTTATCTAATCTTTTTTCACAAATATTACACTCTTGGGAGGTCTTTTGTAGTGAAATATTATCTCTAGATTTGTTTTGATACTGGCTTTTTTGTGAGGAATTGCTGACTGGCTTTTTCTGATCTTTCAGCTTGTCAATGAATTTGTCTGGAGAAAATAGCAAACATGTAATGATATTTTAAAAAGACAAATGTAATTCACGAGCATTACAATAACCAGCAAAGCAAAATAACCATAAATAAAAAAGAAAACACTAGGTAAGACCTTCAAAGTCAGAAAACAACAATGCATGCTGAAAGCTTAAACAGGTGGGCAAAAATCAACTTCATCAAAGAATCAGATGACAGTCACTCTTTGTTCTTTTTTTGGTATTAAATAAAAAAAAATGTAAATCATCTCTTAAAATTCTAGCAATATTGATCTGTTTGTGGTCTGAGTGAATCCCCTACTGTATTTACACTGGGTTCAACTCAGCTGGGGCCCCAAGATACAAGTGGAACGGACTATGTCTAGTGCATACCCACCATCTAAGTTCTCACTCATTCATTCAGTAGCATGTCCCTCGCGGAACCTCGCTGCCATAACAACCCTCCGGAAAACCTTCCTATCCTGAGCAAGATGTCCTGCGTCTGATACACCCATCTGGAGATCATCTGCCACATCCTGCACCCATCTTCTCCTTGGCCTTCCTCTTCCTCTCTTCCCAGGCATATACCCCTCCATTATTGTTCTCTCTAGACTTCCATGACGTTTCAAGTGACCAAAATATTTCAATTTTCTTTGTTTTATTGTCTTTACTAGCCAACCCTCTTCAATATTCAGCTCTTGAAGTATGGATGCATTTGTTCTTTTCTTTACCCAAGATATTCTTAGAACCTGTCTGTAACATTTATATTCAAATGCATTTATGCGCTGTTCCGCTTGTTTAGTAAGTGTCCAGGTCTCACAGGCGTATGTTGCAATGGGAAAGATGCATGCTCTTAAAAATCTGACCTTTGTAGTTCTATCTGTACAATTCCATAATTTATTCAGTTGTTTTAGTCTTTGAAGAGCAATTGATAGTCGCCGTTTAATTTCTTTCATTTTGTCACCATTGTTGGTAACCAGTGACCCAAGATATTCGAAATTTTCCAAAGTTCTCACTACAGGAAATAAATTTGTGCAAAGACATATGTATCTAGGCATAAGTGTGTGAGCAGGGAATGAAGCATGCATGCACGCACGCACAAACACACAGATTCATATATATATGTACATACATTCACAGATATATACACACACCTTCATATACATATTTGTGTGTGTATTTATATGTGTGTATATATATGTTAATGTAATGCACATATATAAATGTGTGTGTGTGTGTGTGTATATATATATATATATATATATATATATATATATATATACACACACACATACATACACACACATATAAATAAATATAAAAACACACACACACATAAATATATCTTCTTCTTCTTCAGCATTCAGAGCCCTTGAGGTTCATTGCTGCAGATATCACCTGCTCTATACATCTCTATGGTTGGCCTTCTATTTCCAGATGGTGACACCAAAGGTCTGACTGGACATCATCTCTCCATCATCTTCTTGGTCTGCCTCGCCGTCTACGACCATTCATCTCCCTCATGAATACAGTTTTTACTTTTCTGTCATCTGATATTCTTTTAATATGCCACAACCATTTCAGTCTATCAGCTCTCATGATGCCAGTGATCAATGGGGATTTAAACAGATTATGAATTTCGTTGTTGTTTCTCACTCTCCATTCAACGCTGTTTGCATCTTTGATGGGTCCAAAGATTCATCGTAGACTCTGTTTTCAAAAACCTGTAATGCTGATTAACCTCTTTTAGCTGTGCTCCAAGTTTCAAAGCCATGTAATATGACTGGTCTTATCAATGTTTTATAGATTTTTATCTTGGTGTTGCAAGACAGACACTTTGACTTTAGCAGATACTGAAGGGCACAGTACACTTTATTTCCAGAGTGTATTCTAGATTGTATTTCTTTCTCTCAGCATGTTGGAGCAGTTGAAGTTTGAAATCAAGTACTTATATGTTTCCGTTCGTTTGATTTTCATATTATCGACTTGTATGTTGCCGAAGTTTATATCCCTTCCCTGTCTTGTTTTTATCATCCATTCTGTCTTATCTTGATTGATAACTAGTCCCATTTTCTGAGCTGATTCTTTTAAGTGAGTCAGTGTGTTAACAGTCTTTAGTTAATTTTCTCCAAACGATATCAATGTCATCAGCATATTTAAGTATTCTTGTACTTTCTTCTATAGTACACTCTTGTTTTAATTTCCTTATAATTCTCTCCAGGTCAAGTTGAAAAGAAGTGGGGACTTTCTGCCTTTACATATTACTATATTACGTGTCTTCCATAAATAGTTTTGCATTTTAATTAACTTCTTTGGTATTTCAAAGTCCTTCCTAGCATTCATGAACTGTTTCTATGTATAGTATCATACGATTTAAAAAAAAAAACACTATATACATCTCTTCTATATTCCCAATTCTGCTCAGCTATTTGCTGTAAAATAAATATCTGATCTATTGTTGATCTGTTCTGTCGGAAACCCGCTTGGTAATCTCCTAATATGTCTTCGACATATTGTTTTAGCCTGTTTAGCAGTACCGCCGATAGTATCTAATAGCTGGTAGATAATAGTGACATTCCTCTATAATGTACACACATACTTGTCTCCTTTCTTAAAAATGGGTATTAATAAAGACACTTTCCAATCATGGGGTAATTTCTCCTTTTTCCAAACTAGTTTTGTTAATTCAAATATCTTTACATGTAATGCATGACCACCTTCTTGTATAATTTCAGCTGCAATTCCATCAGCACCAGTGCAGTTTTTAAGCTGTGTTATGACATACAGTACTTTTCAAAATCAGGGCTCTTCAATATTTGGTTCACATCTTAATCTCTCTTCTTGTGGATAAGTATCAAGTGGAGTTTCACAATTTAACAATTTAGCAAAAGTATTCCTTCCATTTGTTACATATTTCCTCATTATTATCTATCATGTTCCCATTGTGACCTTTTAGACTATACATGCTTTGGATGCCTCGTTTTACAGCCTTCAGTTCTTTAAAAATAAAAGAATAAAAAACTTTCTGGATTCATTGTTCTGATGGTTAGCTTCCATTTTTATGACCATGTTGCTCATGTATTCTCACCTTTGGTGCCTAAATACTTGTGTAGCTTCATTACATTCTGTTCTATATTTTTTCTTTATTTCATATGTTTCTAGTTTCATTTAGCCACATCTGCCTGGCATGTTTTTTCTTACTGACTGCTTCTTCACATTTTGTGTTGAACCATTTGTATTTTTATGTTTATGGTTGACACACCAAGACATTTTTCTGCATATATATATATATATACATACACACACAAATTTACATATACATGTATATATATATATATAATTATATGTGGTGTGTATATGTGTGCGTGCTTGTGTATCCCCTTCCCAAGTTAATTCTGCAAAAGAAAAGGCATTTCTAGATATGGTGATATTCTTTTACTGATCGTATATCATATTATCTCATTACAAATTTTTTTTAAAATTATTTATATATTTATATATATATAAACACACACGCACACACTCACACAAATGAACTCCCAAAGAGCACTGCAACTAAAAAGAATTTTACATAAAACAATGGCCACAATGAACAGCGGACTAGACGTTACATTTTGAATCAGTTAAGCTCTAGAACAAGATATTCTATACAATATCAACAAAATACTCACGTTTACTCAAATTGTCCTGTATTGGTTTCCTAATCACATCTGAACTGTTGACCAGTTCAAGAACTTGTTTATTTTCATTGTTTTGTGCCATGACATCAACACCTTTTTCTAGAAGGTAATGTGCTAGAAACTGTCGCATTTTATCTGGTCCCTGTAATAAAATATTCACAAATGGAATAGATTACTAAATCTTTAAAAATATTTTCAACAAGTTTTAAATATCTTGCTCCAGATTTCTAAGATTTCACAGTGTATGTTCTAAGTAAAACAATCGAGAATCAATTCATGATTGTGCTTCCTCACTGCCAAGTTGAACCCTGCTGACATGATGCATCCACGGCAAGTCTGTTGTTGTAATAGTGACTTTGTTAGATCTAAGCCAACATCTTCTGAGCAAACACAAAGTGAGCGTAGTCTCTTTCAAATGATCTTGTCACTCAATCACAGGCATAAAGACAAAAAGGTTGAAATAAACTTTTATTAACTTAATACAGATGCACAGCAAGAAGCAGATTGGAAACAGATCTCTACACTTTGACATTCAAGTTTATGGAACTGCTCATAAGACTTCTGTATAATAATCCAATGACAAACTCTACAAAGGAAGCCTTGACCAAACATACTACATAAAGAAATAGCTGATCAGGAAGCCTTGACCAAACATACTACATAATGAAACAGCACATCAGGAAGCATCGACCAAACATACTACATAAAGAAATAGCCCATCCTGAGGCCTTGATCAAACATTCTACATAAAGAAATAGCCCACCAGGAAGCCTTGATCAAACATACTACATAATGAAACAGCACATCTGGAAGCCTTAATCAAACATACTCATTCATTCATTCAGTAGCATGTCCCTCGCGGAACCTCGCTGCCATAACAACCCTCCGGAAAACCTTCCTATCATGAATCAAACATACTACATAACGAAAAATCTCATCAGGAAGCCTTGACCAAACATACTACATAATGAAACAGCACATCAGGAAGCCTTGACCAAACATACTACATAAAGAAAAAGCTCACCAGGAAGCCTTGACCAAACATACTCATCATCATCATCAGATGCCTTGCCGACTGGCGTAGGCGATCATGCCTCTCCATAATCCACGATCTCCTGCAGCATGTATCAGTTCGTGTGCCGACACACCTCCATGCCATGCAACAAGACTGTCAAGCATCTTCTCTCGTTGTCTTCCTCTATCCCTCCTTCCACAGATCTTTCCAGTGGTCACAACATGTTCTATTTTCCCTCTTCTCATAACATGGCCGAAAAATGATGACTGTCTCCTTCTGATGTCAGTGATAAGTTGTCTTCGGTCTCCCGCCTCTTTTAAAACCTCTTGGTTGCTCTTTTTGGCTGTCCAAGGTATTCTAAGCATTCTTCTGTAAAACCACATCTCTGAGGCCTCTAAAAATTGTTTGGCCTGCCTACTGATTGTCCAGGATTCACATCCATATGTTAAAACTGGATGTATGTAGCAAGCAAGAATTCTTTTTCTAACTCTCAATGACAAGGATATATTGAACAAGATGTTTTTCATTTTATAAAATGCAGTTTTTGCCTGTCCAATTCTGTTTCTTATTTCAGTTATGCATCTTCCATCTGATGTTATCCATGTGCCCAGATACTTAAATTTCTGTACTTGTCTTAAAATAACACCATTGACTTTTATTACACATTTAGGAATAATTTGTTTCTTTGATACCACCATTACTTCTGTCTTCCCATTATTCAAACTGAGGCCCATTCTTCCACTTTCTAACACCACAATGTCTATCATTTCCTGTAATTCTTTCTGACTTGTTGCTATCAAGACTGTGTCATCAGCATAACGTAAATTGCTTATATTGTGCCCACCAACCACGATTCCGGGCATATCAAATCAGGTGAAAGTACACATCCTTGTCGTACGCCCCTCTTTATGCTTTGAAATGTACCTAAACAGTTGTTAATTCTTATAGCTGCTGTTTGCTGCCAATACATATTCTTTATTATTCTTAGATCTTTCCCATCAATGTTTAATTTTTCTAACAGTTTGATTACTTCTTCATGCTTCACACAGTCGAATGCTTTTGTATAGTCTATGAAGCATAAGTACAAATCAGTCTTTACTTCTATAGCTCTTTCTGACAATGTCCTTAGGATGTATATGGCATTGTTTGTACCTTTTCCTTCTACAAATCCACATTGTTCATCGCTAATTTCTGGTTTAATTTTGTTTCTTATTCTTCTCATAATTATTCTCAGTAAAATCTTAGTCAAACATACTACATAAAGAAATAGCTCATCAGGAAGCCTTGACCAAACATACTACATAAAGAAATAGCTCATCAGGAAGCCTTGACCAAACTTACTACATAAAGAAACAGCACATCAGGAAGCCTTGACCAAACATACTACATACAGAAATAGCTCATTGGGATGCCCTGACCAAACCAGTAATCTCAGTTAAGATGAATATAGTGCCCAGAAATAGCCACCACATACTTCATGCTACAGACACATCAGTCTACTTTCAAAAAATGGATGGAATGCTAAAATTTAAGCTTTTCAGATTTCTGACGACGCTGCAGCTGTCCCGTTTTATCAAGACTTAGTTGTTTCATCATCAGTATGTATGACAAAGGTCTTACAGTAAGTGCAACTGACTGTGTTTTTAAATCTTTCTTATATTTACAGATATTCATGAGTATTACCCCTGCTATCAGCAATGCCTTTAACAAAATGGGGAATACACCAGACAAGCTAACATACACTGGAAAGAACATTTAACTCTTGAGGGGGGTTTTGGTGGAAAATGCCAGAGTGTTTTCACTCACTGGCGAGAAACAGCCTTTATCTCAGGGGACAAAACATCTGAAAGCAAAGATATATTATACAGCAATAGGATGCAGACATAACATGAGAAAGGTGTCTACGGACTTATTTATTCAGCAAAAACAAGATAATAGAACATTACTATCAAGAGTATGAGAGTAGTTTCCATGTCTTTACCATCTTGAATGTGAGAGGTTACTTGCCTGCATTTCAAGATCTATTTGTAGAAGTGGAAAACTGAGGCCTAATCACTAAATAGATCAGTCATCAATATAAAGTAAAATTTAAGGTTAAATTTGGCTTGCTAAATCACATTATATAACATGGTAAAACTTACTTTTAACATTGCTAACAGGTGCAACACAGTGTTCTGTTTATGATCTCGAATATTGATCTCACCACCGGGGATAACTTTGTTTAGTACAATAAAATCCAGCAGTCTGGTGGCTTCGGAGTCCATCGACTTGTTCCCAGTTGTTGGACTGCTTCCTGACTGTACAATAATTGAAATGGTTGCATGAAAGTAGGTATCTCCCGCATGAAACTTCAGTGTCCTGTGATCAGCTCCAGTTGTCAAAAACCACAGTAGAAACCCACAGATCCACCTAATAAAAATCAGTAAAAATACATGAATATGTTAGTTATAAGCAGATAAATAACAGCGAGAAACTATGTGGAAGCTACAGAAATTTAGTTCTAAGCAAGAATGATGAAAATATCTTGGACAGCTAAAAACCACAATGAACATGGCTAAACAAAATACACACACATACACCTGCATCCCACCCCCCCCCCCCCCCCCAATCCACTCACACACAAAAACTGATTAAAGTTAAGTTAAAAAGTAATGACTGCATTCCATTGAATATATCCTATATAGCTCAGTCTCTCTGCAGAATGACTAGCCACCTGCCAACGAGTGTCAGGCATAGCAAAAACTCTAGCTTCAGTGATGATCCCCAGGGATCTCCGTAAAAATTGCACAGATTAACCAATGACACATTGGTTAAATGAGAAAGCTGCTTACCTATATCAGAAGAAGCCAACTCACATTCTTTATGCACAAACAGGATAAAGGGAAAATGGAGTACAATGTGACAACAGAAGAGAGTCAATGAGGAGACCAAAGCAGAAGGTTTAGCATCATTGCATGAAGAAACAGTGTCAGATCAATTAGCAGTAGATGAGACAGAAAACTGTGAATGATCAATACCCAACAGCAAGGATTATAAGAAAAAAAATGTACGCTGGCACACATGTGTGCCTGTCTGTCTACCTGCAATTACTGTTCCTTGCACCCATTCCTATACTGATTATTTTTACCCATCAGGCAATATGGTCCAGGACATAATGTTCCATGAATCCATCTCAATACTTGTATCATTCAAATACTGCTTACATTCCTTATATTGTAGAAAAGGCTGAACCTGAAATCCTTCTATCCATCTAGAAAACACCATAGAGGATGCACTTAGGTATTCTACAATCCTTCATGTATGTCCCAGCCATTGGAGCCTTCAACATTGAGAAACCCATTGTAAGGACTGCCCTTACCAATTCCTCAGTTCGATTTTGTCCTGCCACCTAACGCTAAGTATTCTGTGTAGACATTACATATAAAACCTGTTATTTATTTCTCCTCCAAGTAAGTTGAACAAGTTTCTCTTAAGCTTTCTATTCTCTCTTATTTGTTAATCTGATCGCTGTTGTGGTTTTACCTTTTTTTACTTTGGTTTCTTGGTCCTGGGATATTTGTTTTTAAATGAAGATCCCAGACATGTCAAATGTATCTACTTCTTCATTGTCAATGTAAGTCAAAATTCACAACAAGAATCAGATACTGTGTGTCAGAAGCCTGTTTGTAGTCATGGGACGGTGCATACCATAGAGACGGTGTAGTGTGTGTACGTGCATGATGGAGAGTTGACAGACAAGTCAGCACAGTGGAATCATGACTGTCCATGTATGTGCTGGGATGGCCGATGGAAAATACAGTTCAGCCCAATAACAGGAAATGAATCTTTATAATTTTTTAAAATTATACTCTAAAAACCTAGAGGAAGAAGGAGAACAAATCTGGAGTCTTGGGCAGTTTTTATAAAAATCCATAGGACTGAAAACCCAGACTAAAATATGATTAAAAATGATTAGTCATAAATAAATATTTTCAATTTTTCAAAATTATATTTACCGTTGACTGTCCAAAAGATCCATTTTACAAAATGGTCCCAGATCAAAATTGCGGTTTTTAACGACTGCAGCCTTAGGATCAAAATTTCTGTAGATGAATTCTGCCAATTCCCATTTCAAACGAACAATGAAGTCATACGAGAGTTGTCGCCACTGTTCAAAAGAAATATGCTTCAGATCCTGCATGTACACCTCTCGACCATCTTCTGTTAAACAAAATTATGACGTATTAGTTTATCACATTAAAGACTGTACACTGGTTAAAAAATGTGAAGTATTTCTGCAGCAAAACAACTATAACAATTTGTATAAATGAAGCCAGATACTCTGTGTGTAGGTCCCGGAGCTCCAGTTTGGGGGTGGGAGTGGGGAAGAATGGATCCTCTGCCCCTTATTAACATGGATCAAGCAGCCGCCTTTCCATGTCTTTTCCTTTCCTTTGGTTGAACTTTTAAGTCACAAATTGGGCTGTGTTCAGTACACTGATTACCTGGTCCTTCTAACATTCTAATAATTTTGATCAAAATGTGTGAATGAGGTCTCAGATGGTAAAGGATATTTTGAACTTCTTTTTTCAAAACTGGTGTCCTCCTCCATTATTTGGATTATCAAACTGTTCTTCTGAAACAACATCATGTACCTAAAACTGGCTTCATGATTATTGTTAATTTTCCCAATAGTCATTGATACTTCTTTTTCTTGTTCTGTTTCATATTCCCCATCTGGACACAGAAACTCAACCAGTTTATGCCAAGCCACTCTATCCTATTTAGTGTCTGACCTTCCCAAATTGTTCACCGCTGTCTTTAATTCTTGTCTCTGTTTTAACACCTAAAAAAATATTTTAACGGGTGACATGCCGGTGACTTATAAGCGTTAGCACAGGTGCAAACTCAGCCAACAGCATTAACTATGTGTCTTGTAAACACGCCACCCTAGAGAAGTAGGAAAAGTGACATTTATGGGGAACTGGACCAAATCAGAAGTGTCAGTTTATGGAACTGCTTCTTGACAGGGTTATGCTCTGCACTAGTAATTACATTTTTTTTTTCCACAGGCAGCAGTTAATGAATGTTTCTTGTTTACCAGCACACATTTCTGATCCACGCAGCATTACTGATTTCATGGGGCATGTGAGGATGTCCAAGGTTCTATTCTTATCTCTTCATTGTGAGGATTCTGAACTTTCATCCTGCAACTGACAGGATTAGAGCCCACAACTGGTAGTGATTCACCAAAAGAACCAAGTGATTTAATAGAAGAACAAGCACATTTGTGAAATAACATAATTTATTTTCATGTCCAGTCACAGCCTAGCTCAATAAGAACAAGTTCACAGATTGTTTCATTTCCTCCGCTGGTAGTTTATCAATCCCTTTTAAAATTAGTTCTCTTTTCCAGATGCTGATCTTTAAAGGTGGTACCAATGCAATCTCACAGGAACAACAAAGAAGGATGAGGAGGTGGAATGTGGAGGTGTAGTTGATGAAAATCTTTTCCATTAAAAAATACTGACTTTATCTGTAATAATTATAATGACAATATTTATTTATTTCAAGGTACTCACTCAGCTCATAAATCATTTCCACAAGATCTGACAATATGAGAATTTCCAGCCCTTCTCCATCACTACTTTTAAGTGCTTTCAACGTATTAAAAAAAGCTGTAACTGCTTTCTTCACTTTTCCTTGGTCTCGAAATGCTTTTCCAACTCTCCAGTGGCCCTGTAAGTATTCAATTTCAAGGGGAAAATGTGTATTAACAAAGCGGATAAATACAGACAACCTGCTTTTCAGCCAATCAATCAAGTACTATTCCTATAACAATGATGTAGATAGGAGTGAATGTGCACGAGCCGATAACAGGAAGTACTACATACAGCATAAAATTGACTATAAAGATTAATGGATGGATGGAGAGACATGCATGAATATAATCAAACATTTCAACCAAAGATTTTATTCAAATGTCTATATCGTTTTGTAAGATAAAAGTACTTCATGTCCATATTTCTCATATTCTGTATGTCTTGGTTTCATGTTGACCTGGTTGTTTACAAGCTCTGATGTCTTGTCCGCTGAGTTTTCCTATGACTGTTTTGTATTTAGTATTCTATTGTTAGCTGCTGATTATGCTGAAGACTGCTGGAATGCATCAGATAAAGAAGCCTTGTGGACAATTATTATATATATTACCTTGTACCAACTTCCATCTGCATTAACACTCCTTTTGGCATTGTCCAGAAACATGAGCAAATTTCCTTGCTTGTACCAGCATTCAGCACGATTACCATACAAAACAGCAAGACTGCGTCCATCTTCTTTGCTCAAGACTTCAAACAAATGATAAAATAGTATATTTCCAAAATTCTTTTAAAAAAAAAAAACATTTAACATAATTAAAGTCACTTAAATTTATAAGAATTAAGGTTTTTTAAATATTCGTCAAAATAAGTTGACGTTTCAAAATGTAATTTACAAAGAACTACCAGCCACAACAAATACTAGAGAAGTAGGTTATAGCATCACTTCTTCTTCTTTTGTCGTCTCAATGATACCAGTGTAGCCCTGTGTTATGGTTTACTGTACTTGTCTTGCCTCACATGCCCATTGCACCTCTGATGCATAAAGGGACTTTTTTTTTTTTTTTTTAACTTTGCTTGCACTTCTCTGGAGGCTTGGGTGATAGATTTATCCATCTTTTTGCAGGTTTCAGATACACTGTTTATCTATCTCTTTCTTGGTCTTCCCCTTGCCTTCCTCCCAGATGCTCTGCTGTAACAAAATCTGATCTGTAGTTTGGTCTAGCTGCAATCATACTAGATGGCCAAGCAATTTCTTTCTTTGTCAGTATAATTCAGACATGGTCTTAATCCAAACTTTCTAACGCTGGTATTCATAATCCTGTCTTTTCTTGTGCTGTTGGTGACCTTATGTAGACAGCGCATTTTGCGGATAGTTATTTTATGTTCTAGTGCCCTGTTTACTGTCCATGTTTTGCACTGACAGCATCAAGTAGGGATGAAGATGCTATTAATCATTTGCTGTTTTGTTGGAAAAAAGACATTTGGGTGTTTAAGTAGTTGGGCTAGCTGGTAGATGACAGCATTTGCCTTCTGCATTCTGGTTTCTATCTCTCTATAATTAATTTATTCTTGCACTGTACTGGTTGATTACACCACTGGCTTGCATTACTTCAGACAGATGAAATAATAAACACAAACTAAAGTTGTTAACAGTATAAACCTATAGCTTTGCTGTCATATTCAACAGATATCCAAGGAAATGCAGTCAAATTATTCAAAATGTGTCTACTTCTCAGCTAATCTTTCTGTTGACTACAATCTTTAATATTATTATTTTGTGAAGGTTGGCTGCAGTGTACTCGCTGCTTTCTTGGGGAAGATTATGTGGTAAGGCTCCAATCTCTTCTGTGGCACGACTCTCGTTTTAGTGTCCAATAGCCTTGATAAAGTTGTGTGTTTTTTTTTTTTAAAATACATGATGCAGCGCAGAAATCAAACATTAGCATGTCAAGAACTTTTAAATGCAGAGCTGCACACTGACTACACTGCACATTGTCTACACTGACTGATGCCAAATTAAATAAATGTATGTGCATTCATAAGTTTTGTAATTTATATTAGTATTTTTACCTTTGCTTACATGCAGTATTGCTAAAGGTGACTCTGATGCCAAATGTCTCATTCCTTTAACACCAGTAGGTCCAAGACACTACTGTTGCGATCAGTAAGGTCGGAAGATTATTTGCTTTACCCAGCTGTGCTTGAGGTAAAAGTGGAGTTTAGAGAATGAAAGAGAAAGGCAACTCAGAAACTGAAATGCTTGGGCAAAGCTTTCAAGAAACTCTGAAACTGGCTGAGGAACAACTAATGGAGTAAACAGTATTGCAGTAATATGACACTTCACTCTGAAGTAGACATAGGATGGAGAAATCTCATACCAAGTCCCACTGCTTCAGCCAAGTAGTACCAGCAATTAGTGATGATAGAGTGAGAACAGCACGAAGATTTGAGAAGCACACACACACCCCCCCCCCCCTCCCCCAGTCCACAAACACACTGGCAATAACGAAGAGGAAGAGCTAGTTTCCATGGATATGTGCATAAGAGCGGCTCCTTCAGCTATGACTAAAGTGTGAAGAAGGCAACATGGCAGGAAGGATTTTTATTATGGTATAGCAGTGTATATGTGAAGGTAGTGAGTAAAAGGACCTGTTTCCATGCCTTCTGGCATTTTGTAGGGTAGACCTATATTTTATAGACCAGGGATATTCAACTAAGTTCACTAAGGAACCAAAAGGTTGAAAATGGGGATCGTAACAGGCCAGAGGCATGACTCTCAGCATAAAAAAGGTCACTGATACAACTGGCAATGATCAGTGGGCCACTTGCTAAGCTTCTGCTGGCTGGATTCAGCCCAAGGGTGACCCGTTAAATAGCCCTATTATACACCAATCGATATTTGGTGGGTGATGTGATAAGCATCATGCCGGCAAGAAGGCAGTGAGTGTCAGAGATTAAAACAGCCAGGAGACACTGCTTCTGTCCCAGTCAAGTCATTGAGACTGTCTGTAAGAAATGACACACCTACTGAAAGTCCTCCCTTAGGTAGAGTGGTGGTTATTGTGGACTCTCATGGCAGTTAATTTGTGGAATAAAAGCAATGAATGCTGCATGTGTGTGTTGCAGCTAGTGTACTGGGCATGGATGCAAAACAAGATAAAGGCATAGTAGAGTTATGACCAAAGTGGACCTGCTCAAATGAGAAATAGAATGTAAAAGGCTTAAACTGTGTGTGTGTGTGTACGTGTGAGCGCGCGAACATGTGTGTGTGTGTGTGTGTGGGGTGGGGGGGGGGGTGCATTTTCTGATCACTGGAGGCCTCCTTTCACGCTTGTTCCATGGTGGAGTTGACACTGTACCGTTTAGCTATCCTTACAATAATAGTAACTTGTAGTCTATATTTAACAGTGCAGAAGCTCAAATAGATCATTACGGTCTGAGGAGAATGGAGCTGCGAGGAGTTACCAGGGGATATGGCCGATGCTCAACAGCTAAGGGAAGGGCAAGACAGATATACAATCGACAGTTACTGGTACCATCGGAATTGGAACTCTTTGTTTGCTGCTGAAGATGGAAATGGAGCACTTACGAGGAGTGTCCTGAGTGCTATTATGTCAATTATTAATTCAACATTTGAATTTTTACTATTAGGCCTTAAGATCTTAAGCTAAATGTGTCATGTGAATTAAGCAGTACACAATGAAAAGTCAATATCTGTGGTTTAGGTGCTGTGAATTCACTTTGTAATTCTCAAGCAGACGGTTGCATGGGATTTGGCTGCAGAACGCTTTGCAATTATTTCTCCCATTCAGAAAGCATAGTTCCATTCACGCACGCACCAATCCACCCACCCACACACACACACACACACACACACACAAACACATACACACACACAGATATATATATATATATATATTCATGCACAAATCAAAATCACACTTTTGTTAGTACTGATGAGTAAACAGCTAAAACTAAACATACCATTAGAAGGGTTTTCCAATTTGCTTTCAAAGTGTGATATCGCCTGAGAGTATACCTGCAAAGCTTTCTTGTAATCTGCCTGCTTGAACGCCACATTTCCCATTTCCTTGAGGTCATGCCAAGTCTGTGAGCTCCTTGATCCAGCTAAATTTGGTTCTAAACATATTTTAAGAATTGTTTTCAATGTATTTTTTGTTATTATGAAAAAATGCTAATATATTTTCATTCTCTATTTATCTTTTGTTTATTTGACTACAATTATTGTTGTTTCAAATGGTCATCTCAGAAATGTTTAATTTAAGCTTTAAAATAAATAGATACTGTATGATATTACATCATCGACATGTTAATCAGAGTAGGCGGTCAAGGTTTGCAATCCCACATGATCACCAGAATCACAGTTCAAGTTAACATCTTGTCCGATTTATGTCACATGGTAAATCTATCAGGGTGTTTATCTTTTTGTCTTTCCCTAGCTATTTTCTATCAAATTAGCCAAAATTCACCAAGTTTTCAAATTTATTGTTCCTTGTAATATGATCAATAAATCTCTGTCAAATTTCTCAAATGAATTTATAGTGTCCCTTTTCTTGTGTGGTGAAATTAGGTTTCTTATGTAACTTCCTTATGCAGGGGCTGGTGTCTAGGATTGATCTTCTTCTTCTTCAACTCATCGATTAAGACTTCAGCCATAACTGTGTTGTCACTTATTTAGTGTGAAAATCTTGGAAGTTGGAGACGTCTACACTTGTGAACTTTACATGGATTCATTTTTAAACTGAGCTCAAAATAATTATACTTCTGAACAGGGAGAACACATTCTTCAACAAAGATAATGACATAACTGTTATGAGATGATAAAAGCAAGAATATTAAACAGAAAGTTATTATTATTATAACTGCTAATTTTGTACTAGTTTTGCTCCTTGGTGTTAAAACAAAAGTGTCCTCTGTGTTCACTAATTTATGTTTGAGAACCGAGGCTCCACTGCTCTTTTGTACCGGTTATGTATACTGTACAATGGAAGAATGAATGAATGAATGAAATGAATGAATGAATGAATCAAGAACTGACATCCCTTTACTTGGGACATTCCCACATGTGCTCTGTTTCCTTCTTCAGTAGCTAATGAAGAGCTGATATGCTAATAGTACATGTTGTAACCTGATTGAAAATCCATCTATGTTTTCCCCACAATGGTGAATATCTTCCACTGCGAAGAAGCTATACATTTTTGTAATGTGCAAGCATCAGTGTTTAAATGTTAACATGTGAAAATATAATAATGATCTGAATGAATTTACTTACTGGTAAAACCTGACTTCATCAACTCCTTTAAGGGGGAATTAACTGAGACATACTCAATTGCAGACTTGTTGTATCTGTCCTTGACACTGACATCCACTTTGTTCTCAACCAGCCGTTTTGCAATCTGAAGGGACATTTTGTTATCAGCCTGTATTCTCTCACTCTCTATACAGAGTGTATGAAGAGGTGTACGACCTTCAGAATCTCTGCTTGACTGGAAGTCTTTTCCAACAGCATTTTCCAGAATAATGTTTAGAACAGATATGTCGCCTGGAAAGAAATGTAGCTAGTATTTACAATCATAAGTTTAAAATCATTTGAAATAATATTCAGTTTTTTTTTAAAGGCACACATTTTCAATTCTGTCATAAATATTTTACACAAAAATTAAAGTTTTCAAAACCAAAAGGCTGCAATGACATTTTGACTTCCATTCAATACTAATGACGCTGTGATAATGTACTGGCTAGCTCACTCATTTATTCTCACTACGCTGCTTAGTATGGATGTGAGTCATGAACTGTACTGCAAATACTAAGGAAGAATATCAGGGTTATTCAGCTGAAATGCTATTAAAAGATTCTCAGAATACCAAGGTCTGGGGGGGGGGGGGGGGGGGGGGGGGGGGGGGGGGGGGGGGGTGGGAAATTCTGACAAAAAGTTGAAGAAGAGAAAAACTTACCAACTGAATACTGCTACAGCAATCACATATTAGTTATAAACAGAGGTTAAAGATCATTTAGCTGTTTTTCTTCTTCTTCCTCTTTGTGTTTACCATCTGTAAACTCTTGTGCAAAGTGTTGGTTGTTAATCCACCTCTAGACTTTATTTTTGTTTTAAAACCTGAGTGCTGCATGCACATCCGTTTTACATATTTGAATACTGAATATTAAATTAGGAATCAATACAACAGCACTCGGGACACTCCCTTAAGTGCTTCATCCCCCACCTTCATCAGCAAACAAAAAGTTCCAGTTCTGATAGCACCAGTAACTAATTATACATCCATCTCGCCTTTCTGTTGAATTTCGAGATTCTGTGAGTTTTACATACCTAACTTATTTGTTGCAGACTCTTGGTAATTGCCTCTCAAGCAAATGTAAACTAACTTCAAAGGAACACCCCCCCCCCCCTCCCCACCCTTTTCCCAGTTAGACTCTTAACAGCATGCCTTTTGGGAAGGCAGGGGAGTAATTTAGAGGTGAAGTAATACAACTTTACATTACATAATTTTTTGTGCCATTCCAAAACATACTTGTCAGAAGGCAAAATCTCACTGCTGCATGGAAATGTGTTTCTGTCCTGGAAGTAGAAAGACTTGACGCCAAGGCTCCCTGGCGCAGAAGAACAGTTAAAAGTCGTGGAAACTTGACTTTTCCAACTGTAAGAGCATCAAATACTGTGGACAATACTGCTCTGCTTGCATCACATGTTGCCATAATACCAATTCTGCCTGTTTTGGTTTAGTAGATATTACATCTTGTTAAAACAATATCAAGCACATACATTTGTAACTACAGTGTCATTTTAAAACATAGAAAAAATACTTTTATTATTCTGAATCAAATTTATCATGGAGCCCATCTATTTCTTCTTATAGTCCACACCATGCTGAACACTGAACTAAGAATGAACATCACAGCACTCAGGACACTTCCATAAGCGCTCTGTCCCCATCTTCAGCAGCAAGCGAAAAGTTCCACTTCCAACGTCACCATTAACTGTCCTCACAAACCTAGCTTGTCATACATTAATTGACTGGCAAGTGATGCAAACCCGGCCAGTCTATTTGCCTGCTCATTTCTCAACACACCAGCATTCCCTGGAGAAAATATCCAAAGCATGCCAACTACCCGGGACCTCTAAAGTAATGCTTGCCACTCTGCACGGAGCATGCCTGTCTCCACCTTTCTCAACATGCACTGTGAGTCAGATACAATTAAGCCATGTGTGTACAGCTGATTCTCAAGCCAGCAGAAGGCAGCAGTAACTGCCTCTATCTCCATTCTCAAACTAGACATTGTAATATCACATGCCAGGCTTTGTTGTACTAGGCAACTTTTATTCGATTGTGCCATGAACCCTTAATAATTACGTCTGCCCCTCAACACACAGCCATCTGTACAGATAATCACATCACCTGGGTGGAAATTGTCATGAATCATTTGTTGAACTTCTGATTCTGCAGCACCAGCTGGTCAGTCTCTACACTCACAACCTTAAGTGATAAGAATTCCATGTGACATTGGTAACTATGTCTGTTCATTGCTTTCTGTCTCACGTACTGTCAATAATTTCTGGCATCCTTCCTCACCATGCTTCCTTCTTTTTATTAACACCATTTTTTGAAACCTAAGTAGCCATTTCCCATCTTCTCATGTCCTATAATCTATCAATTCATTAGGTCCCTTTTGATCTCTCAAACATGCTTTGTCTAAAACAACTTTCATTCAAATATTTTTTAGTGTTTGGCGCCACATCGTCACTCTCTTGCTACCTCATTGTGTTCTGTTTTATTTACTACTACTTATCTTTAATTTGACACATATTTTTTCTTCTATTAATCGGATTTGCAGACATGCTGAAAAAAAAAAAGATGTACAAAGCAGGGATGTTGGTCTAAAACTATGTTCAAAAGAGCAGTAAAGGTGCTATCACCAATATCAGATGTTAAACAATGACAGAGAAGAATCAACAACCAGACATGTTATCACTGCAAGTTACTTACCAATATCATCATAAGGAGGTCCTAGAATCAAACTACTGACCTCGACCCACATGCCCTGTTGGGTTAGACTCTCAATAACCTTTGGCCAGGTACTGACTAGCATACATTTCATTTCTCTGGTAAGGTGGCTATCAGCATCTAGAGGAGAGAGACAGAAACATCTAGTCTCAGCACAACTGATAGAGTGCTGCTGAAACACTGTAGAATTAATCTCCATCACAGCTTATTATTTATTATTCTAATATCAATGTTGTCACTCTTTAAATAATGTGGACACAATAAATTGCATAACTCGCTGCCAGGCTGTATTTTGCTGTATCATGTCAGATGTGTTACTACAGAATTACACCAACATTTCATGAAGCATAGTAAAAGTAAAAAAGTAAAGGACCCTTTCCACGCCTTTAGGCGTATAGGGCATATAGGGCTAGACCTATATTTTTATAGACCAACGGCACAAGATGGGTGATGTGGTCAGCATCACGCCGGCCGCCTCTACTTCCCGGGATTGCACCCGGTACCCACTCAAGGCTGGGTCGACTTGGGAGCCAAGGTCATTTTTTGAAGAAAAGCCTGTCTCCACCAGGGAGCGAACCCACGACCTTCTGATCCGCGGCGCGCGTCTAGCCGCTCTGCCACGGCGACTCCCTCATGAAGCATAATAAACTAATAAATTGTAGAATCTCATTAACTTCAGGTAGTTTTAACATTCTATGGTTTTTTCTTTCTGAAATTGCCGCCTCGGTCTGATAGTTTTTCCTCAGTCTGCTCTTTTGCAAATATTTCTTCTCTGAGAAAAGAACTCAATCTCTGAAAATTTGTCATAGTCTTTTCTCAAGAATTCTGCAGCATTTTTTTCCCAGTATGGCTACAAATGGAAGTGCCTCTCTGTACTGTATATACTCTCTTACTGTTAGTTACGTATCCTTTACAGGACTTTGCAGAACCAACCCTTGCATTTTTTTTGGCTGTTGTGGTTTTTCTAGGCAGGTTTACGTCCCGTAGTTTGCCATTGCTTTCTGGACAGTCAGCTTCTTGATACCACTGTCAAAACCAATGCAAGGGGCAAGCACAAGGCCTGCAGCTGAGATCAAACCTGGTACCACAGCATTACGAAGCGTGTTCGCAACGCCAAAGCCACAGACGCCGACAAGAGTTAAATAGTAAATTCATTTACTTAAAAAATTCAGTTTACTACTGGAAGCTTTAAGAACATAGCCAGATGTTTAAAGCTGCTGTAAGCATGGCCAGAGATTATTACAGGCAAAAGTTTTATGATTTTTTTAGCTTCTGTACTTTATTTCAACAAAAAAAAAATACAAAGAAACTGAAATACAAAACAACTGGAATATAAATACTGCATGCTGTGGGCTAAAAACATAACATTGATATAACAAATAACTATAACACTGTAACTAACCTGGAATGTGACGCAAAATTTTTGCAGCCTCCAGTGAGAAATTCAATTTTTCCAAGACCTCATGAGATTTATGAAATGCTAAAATGAAAGCTTGACATGCCTCATGGTGTTTGCCCATTTTTACAAGAGCCTGACCTTTTCTGAAGTATCCCTATAGAAGAATACACAAATAATTACAAAGTAAGTGGAAACATTGTGATAACAGTTGTGGCATCACTAATTAAATTATTGTTATAACGAGTGACAATAAGAGAAATGTTGAAATTATAGTGATGTTAATGTAGTTACTATTATCAGTAGTATGTTGTATCACTTACAATATTTACTTAAGTTACTTTACTGACAATTTTAGAATCTCTATATCCCTAATTATATTGATAAGTACTTTAGCTTTATTACTTTACAGCATGTCTCACCATGTTGTATATTCTCTAGATCCTATGTACCACCAGTGAAGTCAGATGTACCCAATGTACCACCATACATACAACCACAAAAGTCTGATGTACCCAATGTACCACCATACATACAACCATAAAAGTCAGATGTACCCAATGTGCCACCATAAAAGTCAGATGAACCCTACATACCAATATAAAATTCAAATGGACCCTACATACCACTATAAAAGTCAGATGTACCCAACGAACCACCATAAAGGTCACATGTACCCTACATACCACAATAAAGGTCAGATGTACCCAATGTATCACCATACAAGTGAGATGCACCCTTTGTACCACCATAAAAAATCAGATGTATCCTATGTACCACCATAAAAAATCAGATGTATCCTATGTACCACCATAAAAAATCAGATGTATCCTATGTACCACCATAAAAGTCAGATGTACTCAATGTATCACCACAAAAGTCAGATGTACTTTATGTACCACCATAAAAGTCAGATGTACCCAATGAACCACCATAAAAGTCAGATGTATCCTACTACCACATTTGCCCTGTCTAATAATTCATTCAATATAAT